TGCAAACCAGCAGCAGCCGAACTGCTCTCCTCTGGTCCCGCTTGCCCCGACTCCCCTCCCCCACCTCCATTCTCTAGGTGTCAGCCCTAGCAAATCTTTGAAAATGTAAATCTGAACTTGGCAGACCTCCTAGGATCCCCGCTGCGGTTAGGATAAAATCACAAAGCCCCCTAGTGTCCTGTAGGGTCGAGCAGGGTAACCCCAGGTTTATCTCGAACTTCCTCCTTCTCTCTGTGCCCCAGCCATGCCAGATTTTTCTTTCTCAGAACTCACCACTTTTTTTTTTTGCTTGCTAGCTTTGCAGCATGCTGTAGTTCCCTCTGCCTGGAACAGGGTCAGCACCAGCACCCTGCCCGAGTTCACCTACCTCCCCACTGCCCAGGGCGGCTCCTCCGGTACCCTGCCCCCACCCCCAGCCCGCCCTGAACTTGACCTGCTCCTGTGCATCACCTCTGGGGACTTGTGCCCACTGCTCTGTCCCCCACTGGCACACAGTAGGTATTCTGTAAACATCTGTTCAATGACTAGCGGCAGTTTCTCTGAGGGTGAGAGTGAGGCAAATCGGCCCTTTCCTGCCCAGGACTGTGGGCTTTAAAGAGCCCTGGCACCCTGCTGAGGCTGCTGAGCCCCCCTCCTGGGACACAGCTGCCCGGCGGGACTAAGAGCTCCGCTGCCTGGCAGAGACCACCCTGGCCAGTCCCTCAGGGCCCTGTTCCCACAAAGGCCAAGGTGGGACCAGGGCAAGATTCTAATTTATAAGGAGACACTGGGTGTTCTCCCAGGTTTGGAGACTCCCCCCACTTTTTTCCTCTGTTTTTGTTTTTCTTTGTCTGTGGGGGGGAGTCTGGAGTTTTCAGTGAGCACTCTCTTCAGTCCCCTTCTCATCCGTGGAGCAGAGACTGGGAAACTAGCGTGGGGCGGGCTCCACAGCCTTAGGCTCCAGCCGTGGCTCTGCCACCTGCCAGCTGGGGACCAGGCACTAACCTGCCCTGCTGCCGATCTCGGTTTCCTCGTCTGCAGCGTCGGACTGAGAACAGTGCCCACTTCCCAGAGCTGCTGGGAGGAGTCAGCAAGCCACCACTGCCTTTAAAGCGCACGGTGCTCTGGGCACTTGTGGGTGTTGTTACATCGCCCGATGGACAGTTCCCTAGAGAGGACCCAGGTAGTCGGGTGGGCTCCCTCTCTATAAAAAGCTGTCACTCCAGGAATTGCTCCCCAGATGCCATGTTTCTTCAGCTTTTGTAAGAAATCCCTGGAGGTGTATGTGGTTCGTTCTGAGTCATCGGTAGACATCCCAGGGCGGCCTGGAGGGAGCCACCCAGGCCCTGGAGGTGCAAAGATCAGCAGCACCCGCTTCCTGGCCCAGCGATAATTCCCTGGGGGCACGTGGCAAGGCGGCCCCCAGCTGTGAGGAGGGGACAAGGGGACGGGGTCGATGGAGAGCAGGAGGTATGGGAAGAAGGGCCACAGACTCCCCTCAGGGTGGGAAGCCGGGCTGAGGTCTGCAGGGGAGAAACTGGGCACCTATTGCCCCAGCAGACTGAGAACCTCCTCCTGGCAGAGGTGGGGGTGGGGAACGCCTCTGAGCGAGACAGAGCCCCTGCCCTGCTGAACCGGTGGGCTGTCTGGTGAGAGACAAGACAGCATTACTGGATTCCAAGCCCCTCTTCCGCCCTGCTCCCCACCCCCACCCCTGCCAGAGCTGAGGTATCTAGGAGCCTGCAGGAGGTGTCCTGGGAACCAAGCCCTTGTCCTTGGTCCCTGCAGCCTGCTGATTCCTTGGGGGGAGGGGGGAACGGACGGACCGACATGGTCACTGGAGACAACATCTTCAGTCTCGGGGTCAGGACTGCATCCCCTCCCTTAAGGTTCAGCAGAGCCTTTTAAAGGGGTGACCCTCTGACCTCCAAACTGTTCCCCCACACCCCGAAGCTTGAAGCCCCTGGGGCAGGAGCTTAAGGAAGGAGGGCCCCAGAGGCCTCAGCTTAAATGCAAATAGGAAGCCAGGAGTCCCCCGGGGCAGGAGAGGGGAACTCAGCCAAGGCCAGGAGCCCGAGTCAGGTCCATGGGAGTGCAGGGCCGAGATGAGGGTGCCTGGCCCAGGAGAAGGGAGGGGGCGACGGGCAAAGGGTTCAGCAGAGGGAGCAGGCGGGCCACTGGGATTCTAGGACGCAGGGTGGGGGAAGGAGGGCGAGGGGTCCGGCCAGTGCAGGGGGGGCGCCCCCCGGGGAGGGGCACGCTATGTCTTTAAGAGCAGCCTGAGCGCAGGTTGCAGCTGCCTGGCCAGCCCGAGAGACAGCGGAGATTCATTACCCGCCGACACAATGACCATTGATGGCCCCGTGGCGTTATTCAAATCCAGTACCAATTGCAGCCGAGCCCCTTTCTCCGCGCCAGGCCCGTATTGTTGGAGCGGCCCACTAAAAGCCCGCCCCGGCCCCGAGCCGCCAGAGGCACCCGATGGGGTTCAGCCCTGCACCTCGCCAGCCCGCCGGCTCCCAGCCCGGCTCACCGGGCACGGCAGGTGACCCAGCGGTGCATTCCAGCGCTCCCTGCTGCACCCCAGCCACGGCCACCACTACTACAGGCACCCTGGCCAAGACTCAGCCACTGGGAAGCGGAGAGCACCGGAGCCGGTGCGTGCGCGGGGAGAGCGGGGGTGGGGACCCATGAGTCCAGCAGTCCCAACCCGGGCTCGCAAACACCACCCGGCCTCGGGCCCCTGCTTTCTGGATTCCTGGCGAGCCCGGGAAGTCCAGGCTGGGGGTGGGGAGAGGGGAGTCGGGGTTCCCCGGGCCTGATGGAGGTTCCCCCAACCTCGGGCCACGCAGAGCGCCAAACCAGGCTACTTTAGGGACCCCGGGCTGCGACTGAAGGAGATACACGCCAGGGGCAATGGGGATTCCCCGAGCAGGGTTGGGGACCCGCGTGTTTGCCCCTCCAGCTTACCGTGGTATGGGCCCCAACCGCTGAGCGGCTGTGAGGCAGTCGGCCGTGCAGCTCCGGAGGTCTCCTGGTCCCCTGCTTTTAAGGAGCGAAGGGGAACCCCGCAGGAGACCGGGGCCCTGAACTCAGGGGCTTCGCCACTGATTGTCCAAACGCAATTCTTGTACGAGTCTGCGGCCAACCGAGAATTGTGGCTGGACATCTGTGGCTGAGCTCCGGGCGCAACAGGGGTGGAAGCCGCAGGGACCCAGCTCACGAAGGAGACCCCTCGCTCCAAGCAGCGGCTGGCTGGCCCAAGCACCAGGATCGCGGTGGCCCTGCCGCCAACGAGAGCCGCTGGTCCCTGCCGCCAGCGTCGCCATCCTCTTCCTTATCATCTCCTTATCATCGTCGTCCTTCTCTGCGGGTGACCAGTCCTGGCCAAGGGTGTCCTCTGGTTGATCGAGTCATTTCCCTTTTTTCAAATTTCGGCTGAAACGAAGCTGGCACGCGGCAGCATGGCCCGAAAGTGGTCCCAGGAGCCCGCCCTCGGGCCAGCCGCAGGAAGTCGGGAGTGAAAGAAGATGCCGGCAGAAAGCGCTAACTCATTTTGAATTGGTTCTCACCTGTCCCCCCACCAATAACCCCAAATGCAAAAGCCTAAACCGACCCCTAAATTCCCAATAAACCAACCCCTTCGGCCAGCCCCTCTAGAGGCACTGACGGGCAGAGCCTCCTGCAACCACTGCCGGAGCCGGAGCCGGAGCCGGAGCAGCGCGGGGAATGATGCGATGCAGCCGGGCAACTGCCTCGGCTTTGGAAACGGAACTTGGATAAACGAATCCTTTTCATTAAAGACAAATCTCCGGAGATGGTGGGACTTACTCGTTTATTTCCTCACAAGCTGGGGGTCAGGAGTTGCCTGGGGAAAAGGGGCAGTTGGGGGTTGCTAGTGCTGAGGTCAGGTCATCTGTCCCTGACCCCTCTCAGACTCCGGGCTGAAAATGACCCAAAGTGCTGCGGACAGTGGCTTGGTGCTTTTGCCTGCATCCCTGCTGCCTTGGAGAATGTGGTTTTCCCAGCGCATCCTTCCGCCCTACTGCTCAGTATTCACTGGGGTGCAGTGGGGGGAGGGATAGCCCATCTCTAAGCCCCCTGCCCCAGTGCAGGTGAGAAAGAAATCCGTTGGCCCAGATTCCAGGACTTGGAACCCTGGGAGGGACAACGAGCCACTTCGGTGGGGCTGGAGGTAGGGAGAGACATCCAGGTTACAGGGAGGAGAACAGGCTGCAGGGGGCTGTTTCAAGCCCCTTGCTCTGTTCCCTAACTTGGAAACCCTGACCTCCACACCTCCTGTGGGCTGGTCCACAGCTTCTCTAGACACTGTTCTGGGTCCCAACAACGGCCTCGATTTGCACCCAGACTGCCTCCTGCCAACAACCCCCCCGCACAACTGCCTCCACCCACACAGGTGCCCCCAGGGCTTCCACTGCAGAGCCCAGGAGAGGAGCTTACCAGCCAGGGTGTGGCCGGCCCCTTAGGCCCTGAGAATGCTGGGTGCACACAGCCCCCACACTGCCAGCACAGTGCTGGGGCAACCAGACCAGAATGGCATCCCCAGAGTGAGAGAAATCCCACCTCAAATGGCTGGTATGTAGTGACAAGCAATGTTTTGGGCAAGACAATATTAATGCCCTATTTTTTTTTGAGGTCTCCCTCCAGCAAAGCAAGCTCTTCTCCAGGTCATGGGAAGGAGGGGCTTGGCGGTCTTGTCTACGTCACCCCCGTTGGTTCTGGGGCTGCTGGCTGAAGCTGGTGGGACAAAGCCTGGCCTCAGACAGACCCGTGAGGAAGTGTGTGTCCTGGGACCCAGACTGGGCTCTGCCTCCCCCCTTCTCCAGACGGCCTGGTCGGGTCGTCCCCTCACAGTCAGGAGAGGGTTTCCACCCCTGCCCTTTTCTGGGTGAAGGGCAGCTCTGAAAGCCCCGGGTGGAGGTGGAGAGAGTGGAGCAGAGACCATGGCTGAGGGGACGTGGGGTGCCTCTGGTTTCTAGGGATAAAGCTCCAGGCAAGGCTAGTAAACAACCTAGTCTTTTATTTGCCCAGGGCCAGCTGTTGCAGACCCTGAGGCCCCAAGATTTCCAGAAGGGATGGAGGGAGGAGGGGTGAGCTGCACTGCCCACCCAGGTGCTGCTTGCCCCGCTCCTGCTTCCCGCAGGAGGCAGAAAGGGAGACAGAGACTAATTTGGGACATCAGTATCACCCACATTTTCAGACACTGCAATTCATCAGTTGTTGCTGAGAAGGAAACTGAGGCACACTGACCCTTCCAGGCCTCTGCCAGTCCAAGGTTAAGCCCTCTTCTTCCTCTCCAGAATGGGCTGCAGGCAGCCTTTTGCTGGGGGAAGGTCTCAGGAGCCCATCTGGTGGCCTGTGGGGGGGGAGGGGGAAGGCCAGCCAGGGTCAAGGGCTGGAGATGGGGGGAGCAGGAGGAGGGGTGTGGTTGGAAGAGCAGCTGCTGGGTGGTGGGCAGGGGGTCAGCACTGAATAGGGGACCCCAGCTGGGGTTCCATAATGACATCAGTGGGGGACAGGCAGAGCCCTCTACTGTCCAGATGGGGAAACTGAGGCGGGGACTGCTCCAGTGTTTGGGCAGGGAGGGGGCATCCCATCAGCTGTTGAGGACCACTCATCTTTCCCACGAAGACATTATGACCTGGAGCTGGAGCGCCTGTCAGTGGTCACTCAGTGTTCAGACTGAGACATAGGAATGGAAGGCCGCTGGGTCACCTGGCTCCAGGCACCCCCTCTACTCTGGACAAACCAGAGGGGCACCCTCCCCCACCTCAGCTGCTGGGGGAGGGAGGGCTGGGCTCAGGCGCCTGCCTGCCTGCCTTCTCCTGCTCATGTGCCTGCGAAAGGCTCATTTTAGCACCTGCCCTCTTTTCCCTGCCTGGAGGGAGCAGAGGGGACAGAGCAGGGAAGAAAGCAGCCAAGGGGTGCAGGGAGCTCTGGAAGCAGGGCCCGAGGGGAGGTCTGGTGGTTCTCCCCACCCCAAGGAGGGCCCAGGCACAGAGAGGGGCCCTCAGCCGCCGTGCAGCGTGGATATGAAGAGGACGCTGTCCTGGTCCTGAAGCTGGTAGTCCAGCTCGCCCTGGTCCAGGAGAGAAACAAGGAGGGCGCCGTCAGGGCCGTTTTCCAGTTTCCCCCCATGTGTCGGGGGAGGAGAGCACCTGGCTGCTGGGGGGGGGGCGGTGAGAGAGAGAGAGACTTCCAGAGAACCAGGTACCCTGTACTCTAACTTGCATGTGTCCAGGATGGAGGACCGCTCACCCCTCCCCCAGCTCCCCTTTCCTTCTTATCTCCGGATGGAAGGCTGGGCAGCCTCAGCGTGGAGGCCAGAGTGGGACAGAGGCCTCTTCACCCTGCTCGGGCCTCACGGAAAGAAAGCCCTCCTGACTACTGAAGTGAGGGGAGGGTTGGAGGAAGGGTGACCCCGAGGTACTGACCAGCAGTTCCCAGTCGGCATCGTTAACCAGTACCAGGATTCCTGGCCGCCTGTGGGAAAGACGGCGGTGAGTCGCAGGAAGTGAAGGGCGGGGGCACTCGGTCGCAAAGGTGGCGAGGCTTAGACCCTCTGGGCTGCAGAAGAGTGTGATGGGAGCCTTCCCTCCTCAAGTTCCAGTGACAGATGTCCCGGGTAGTGGAGGTGACAGTGAATCTAAAGCAAACCTGGTCCGACAGTCATGGTCGTGGGGCCAGGTGGAAATTCCAGCATGCCCCTGCCCGGGGCCTCAGGCAGGTCATTTTGTTTCTGAGCATCAGTATCTCCAACTGGACATGGGCAAATGACAGGGCCTCCCCACAAGGCCTGCGTGAGGGTGAGCTGGGATTGTGGGCGAGGGGCTTGCTCGCCCGAGTCTGTGGGGCACCTTGGGTAGCAGCATGTTTTCCCAAGCGTCCATCTCAGCACTTCCACACCAGGGGCGGCAACAGCGGCCCCAAGCAGCTAGAAGCCCAAGAGCAGCTGTGCCTGGTGCGAGGCAGGTGAGGCTGACTTTCAGACTGGTTCCTCAGCCTGGCTCCTGCTGCCAGTGGCTCACAGCTTTGCTGTTCTTGGGGGGTGGCCTCCATGACTGCTGGACCATGACCTGAGCCAGGGGCTGGACAGCAGCCTTAGCCCCCAGGATTTCCTCTGGTGTCCTCTGCTTCAGGGCAGATAGATGGGCCCCGCAAGCACCCTGCCCACCGCCTGCAGGCATTCGGCCAGCCCTGCTGCAGAAGTGAAGCCACTTCTCCTACAGGGAGCCTGGCTCCTTGCCGAGGGGGCTGAGCTGGGCCTGGGACAGGTGAAGGAGCTGTGGGCGAGGGCAGGGCTGTCTCCAGCGAAAGGAGACAACGTGTGTGTGCGTGCATGTGCGCACAGTGACCCCCTGGAATCCTGGACCTCTGCTGTCCAATATGGCAGGGGTCCCCAACCCCCGGGTTCCAGACAGAGGACAGACACCTGTCAGAAGCCAGTCAGGAACCAGGCCGCACAGCAGGAGGTGAGCCGTAGGCCAGTTAGACCACCTGAGCTCTGCTTCCTGTCCCTCCCCACCCACCCCTGCCCGTGGAAAACTGTCACGAAACCAGTCCCTGGTGCCAAAAAGGTTGGGGACTGCTGCAATATGGTACCTTTTAGCCACGTTTAAATTTAAACTTAAACTACCATTAAATGAAACTGAGTGTTTAGTTCCTCATTCACACTGGCCACATTTCCAGGGCTCAACATCCTCACGTAGCCAGCACCCAATTACCATATTGGACAGCACAGATACAGCAGAACACTCCCATCATCGCGGAAAATTCGAACTGTCCAGGAATGAAAGGGACCTTGGGCAGCACCTTGCCCTCAGTACTTCTGAACGGAGAGAGTAGCTGTGGCCCAGAGAAGTAAAGTAACTTGCCGAACGTTCCACAGCAAGGCTGTGGCAAGCAGAAGGAGGACTCCAAGTTTCTTGAGACGTGTACCAGTTCCCTGACTGGATGTTTAAACAATTCCCAACAACCCAGCACGGCAACAAGAAAACCGAAAGCTCTTTCCTCGGAGCTCAGAATGGCAAGGAGACAAGAGGCCAAGGAGCAGGCTGTGGCCGAACTCGGACACGGGGCCCGGCACCCCGCCCGCCCCCCTCGGGGAAGGGAAGTGGGGACTCACACACTGTCTCCCTGGAGGAACAGCTCTGGCCGCTCTCTGAGCAAGTTCTTCTTGATCCAGACGAGGAGGCTCCGGATGTCCCCTGGAGAGGAGGGCACAGGACACACTGCTGTGAACCCGCCCACTCCCGATTCCCCCGGCCCTGCCTGCACCACGAGGACATGCTCGGGCGGCTCAGAGGCCCCTTCAGCCCAAGCTGCCAGGGCCCCCGGCCTGCGGACTCCCAAGGTGAGGAAGTGGGTTAGCAGGGGGACAGTGACCTGCCAGAAAGGTCTTCGGAGAAAGTGTCACCTAGCACTACTGAAGGCTTGGAAAGGCAACGGGGACTCAAGGCAGATAGCAGGAGGCACTGTCACACCTGAAGGGGCCGACGATGACAGACCCCCACCCTAAGTCCTGGAAAACGGTCCGAAACTGCCGCGGACAGGCTCCTGAGAGGCTCCTGAAGAGCCCCGTCCACCTTTGCCTCCCCAGCCAGGCCCCGAGCGGGAGGATTCCGCTTGGCTCTGGGAGGGTCTGCATACATTCCCCTTTGTGAGGGAGGAGACGCAACTGCTGAGCCGATAACATCAGTTAATTTCCTCCAGCAGAGGGAAAGCAGGGCCCTGCACCAGCCAGAGAGCTGACCAGTCACTGCCCCTCGAAACCCCCCTTCCCAGAGCCCTCTCCCGCCCCGGGGCTGTGGGGAGCCACCCTGAAGAGGCAAGAGGTGCAGGGTCGAAAGGGCCTCTCCTGTTCCCCTGGACACTGATATCTGCCACTTTGTGGTTGTGGGACTGCCACCAAGCTCTTTGTACATCATGTGGAGGCTCAGGGCCACCTGTCCTTTCCTAGGAGCAGGGTCCCAGGGCCCAGCACACTGAGACCTGGCTCAGGAAACTCCTCTAACCGGCAGTCTCCGGAGGCAGTGGGGGTTCCTTCTCTCCCTCCCACGACTGGAGGACTGAAGGCCCCGCGGAGACAGCTGGTCTCTGAGAAGCCGGTGGGAAACTCGGGACCAGCCACGCCCACCCCGAGTCAAAGTCTCAGGCTGAGCTGGAAAGGGCCCACCAGTGCCTTGGTTTCCCCTAGAGTCAGAGTCCCGGCACGTGGGGGAGAGAAGGCTGCCTGGGCAGAGAGAGCGTCAGTTCTTCCCGGTCCAGGCCCAGCAGCGTGTCACACGCAGGGCCAGCCTTGAACAGGGCCGTCAGACGCCCTCCACAGCCTGCACACCATCCCCCAGAAGGCAGCTCGCCTGCCCCTCCGGACAGAACAGCTCCCTCTGTTCCCAGCAGACTTCCCCGGGTCGCCAGAAGAACACAGGTCCATGGGCAAGGTGTCTGTAAACCGTGATGTCACCTCTCGATTTTAATTCCTGCTTTTACACGAAGCAGGCCGGGGTCCTCTCGGTCCCCGAAATGCAGGGCATGGGCGTGCTGCCTCCAGAGGGCTGCGGTCCGCTCGAGGCCTGGCTTTCAGAGGCTTCCCCTTGGCTCCACCTCGGCACTGTCTGGTGGGCCGCCAGCCCATACATCTTGGGGCCGCTCGACAGAGCTGCCGGAGTCTGGCACATCCATCAGCCTGCCCTGGCGGGCCGGGCTCTGCCTGGGTGTGCAGAGGTGCTGAGAGCCACCGGCTGCACCTGCACGGTCCTGGCCATCCCGTACAGAACCTGACCCAGTCGTGTTAGAGGGGGGTCTCCTCTTCCACTCTGGACAAGCTGGGGGTGGGGTGGCTGGTGGTCATGCTGGGGTCACCCGAGTGATGGCAGCATCACAGAGTCCCGGAGGGGCGGGCTGGGGGTGAGTCTGCTGCCGGTGCTGGCTCATTTATCACGATGCTCCTCTTTGCTGAGGTCATCCCCTCCCTCCTCTGCACCCCCAGGCCTGCCCACATTCTTGATAACCTGTTACCATGGTGAGGCCACCACATCACCATCCTCATTGTTCCCCCATGCCTGGATTTGGGGGTGGGGAGAGAGGGGACTCATGGCAGGCTGCGAGGGATCCTAGGCCTGGCCTGAAACACCCCCCAGGGACATCTTGCTGGGCTTGCTGAGGCCCAGACAATATGCAAATGGCCTCCAAGCCAGATGGTCGGCTTCCAAAGGCACCCAGGGGAGGAGGAAGGGTTAAGCAGAGTCAGGGGCTGGTGGCTTGAGGACGGCTCTGGGGAGTCTCACTTTCACCTTGCCCGAGTGTCCTCCTGCCTTCCCACCACCTCAGAGGGTGACTTTCGTCCTGGAACCCCACACAATCACTCGTAAGACAAATATTTACTGAGCAACTACTATGTGCCAGGTGCCAGGGAGATGGCAACGAGCGAGACACAGAACCCACCCTGGTGGAGCTGACATTACATACTGAATTAGCTGTGATAAATGTTATTTCCTTCGTGTAGAAGCTTTTCTGAGGATGTTAACATCAAAGCCGAGACCTGAGGATGAGTAGGGTAGGCTGGGGAAGCATTCCAGGCAGAAGGAAGAACATATGGGAAGACCTGAGGCAGGAAGGAATTGGCAGGTTCAAGGTAACCGAACAGAGAAGGCCAGAAGACTGGCACGAGCAGCAGCCAGTGCCCAGACCCCTTGGGGCACGTGCGGGCCTGGAGAAGGAGCCTGCTCCGGGAGAGGTGCCCCCACCCTGCGAACCCCAGAGGCATTCGCCAAATCTGTGCTCCTAGGGCACACAACCCACACTGCCTGGGCCATGCTCCGGGTCCCTCTGCCTTGATGTGCATGCCAAGACCAGTGCCAACGCACAGCGTTGCCAGCACCGGGACGTGCTCCGAGGGCCCGGCGCTGGCCGTGGGGCATGCGCAGAGGCCCACACACAGCACCTCAGCTCCCCTGCATTCCAGGGACAGGACCTTCGGCGAGGCACTCCACAAGCCGCAGCCTCCTCTTTGCAAAATGGAAATGGTAAGAATGTCTCATTGGGCAGTTGTGAGGAGGGGATACGATGATTCATGTAAAGTTCTTGGTACTGCGCCTGGCATACCAATCCTGTAATTCTCCTATGATTCAGAAGAAGAACCTGTACCTTCTGCCCTCTCCTGATGCTGAGCTTCCACACTCTGCCTGGGGCCTGGCACCCTGGGACGTGCTCAGACCAGAGTGCGGCAGAGTCAGCCAAGCCTTAATCAGACAGACGTGCTGGGACTGGCTGGGTTTTCTGTGGGGTTCACTTGCTCTTCATCAGAAGCTGCAGAGGGACTGGGAGAGTGGTGAGGGGGCCCCAGGCACTGGCCTTTTCATTTCATTTACTTATTGAACTTGTATAAGAGTTTATTTTTTTAAATTTAGTTTATTGAAGAATTTATTTACTTATCTTCAAAGAGGGGAACATCAATGTGCAATTGCCTCTCGCATACCGCCTACTGGGAACTGGCCTGCAACCCAGGCATGGGCCCTGACTGGGAACCGAACCAGCAACACTTTGGTTTGCAGGCTGGCATTCAGTCCACTGAGACACACAAGCCAGAGCTGTGTAAGAGTTTATTTGAGCCAAACTGATGACATATGCCAGGGCGCAAAATCTCAAACCCTCCTCTTCCCTCCACTTTAGATGTTCAGACGTTTAAGATGCTTCCAGGACAACCCTGCTGCAAAAAGTCCCATTCTGAGGCGGTGGCTGTTAGAGGCCAGAGCGCCCCTGGGCACACAGCCCCAAAGGAAGGAGAGGAGCACCCTTACACAAGGTGTCCAGGACGGGAAGCCTTGGGACCCGGCCTGCCCACGAGGGGAAAGCAAGTGATGGCAGCTGCTTGCCACTCTGGTGGAGGGTTAAGGGCTCGGAGTCTAGAGGGGAAACTGGCGCTACATGGCCTTGAGTAGGAAGTCACTTCACTTCCCTAAGTCTCAGGGTCATCCTCCGACAAACGGGGATAAAAGCCCAACCACCAAAGAGCTGCTGTAAGGATTCGGGCCCACCCCGCACAGCATCAGGCACTCAGGACAGGTCCACGGGCCCAGTGACTTAGGGCGCCTTACCCCTGGGCTGCCAGAACCTAGAGCTGCGGGCAGGGGGGCACCATGCACGCCCCTTAGAGAGAACCTGAAAGGCTCCACCAGACTCCCTCACCCCAGCAGGCTTGTCCTTGTCTGGGAACACTGGCCACCCACTGTGGCAGGGCCCCCCCAACAGTGTCAGTCGTGGTTTCTCAGGCTGGGAGAACAGTCTCAAAGTCTTATCTGATACTAAAGCCTTGCAGCGACAGACCCTTATCCAGCCTCTCTTTGAACGCTCCTGGGAGAGTTTTTCTCTCAACCAGAAATCTATCTTCCTGTCATTCCCCACCCCCCCCACCCCAGCCTGGTTATTCCCTGGGGACCACGGCGACAAACGTGTCCCCTCTTCCCCACGCCTGCCCTGTAGATTTGGGAGAGACAGATCCCAGATCTCCTGAGTCTTCCCTTCCATAGGTTAAACCACTCCAGTCCCCACCAGGTCTACTGGGCTCCAAGACGAGGCTCTTCTGGGAGCCCACCCCAGGCCTTAGTTGAAAAGGGAGAAGAAAGAGCTGAGATGGGGGGAGTGAAAGAGAAGAGGGTAGAGGGGACATCAGAGAGTCCATTTACAAGTGAATGGGGTAAGAATGGAGCAGTTTGTGGGCTAAACTGGCCTCAGAAGGAGGTTTACAGATGTGCGAAGGGACGCTCCTCATTGTTTAATTAAGCAGAAAGTGGATCTTTTCAAAAGCAATTTTGCACAGGGACTGGGAGGGGTGGGGGGAGTGGAGGGCGGTGGGGAGGGGGGGATCAGCAAACAGGCCCCAGGGCAAAGAAAGGAACAGCTGGCCCCAGAGAGGCTGTGAAATGCATGCTAAGCAGTTTAAAGCGCTGGGAGCTCTTTGCAGCCCCTGCCCTCCCCTGTCGGCCACCCTCTGACACAATGGCAGGGCAGGGGAAGAGGGGCAGGGAGAGGGGAGGCAGACACGGCTCCTCCTGGGGGCCAGGGCAGGTAATGCCCATGCCGGGGCAGTCTGTCCCCCGAAGTTCTGGGTTTGTTCCAGGCCACTGACCAGGCCTGGGCTGGAAGCCTTGAGATGAAGGGATCCTTGAAGCATAAGCATAAAAGCCAGCCCCCGCCGCCCCCCCTGGCCAAAATGCCCAAAGCGGGTGGGTGCCTACCAACCCCAGTCACTACAACCAAGGACAGGGCCTGCTCCATGCAGACGGCCATCAGGGTGTCCCCTACAGACACGACTGTTCCCTAGGTCAGCACGCCCTGCTTCCCAGAACTGTATGCTTGATTTGACAGCAACATTTCTGAACTGTAGATGTGAAACAGAAAACCAGCTCAAAGAGATGAAATGTAGCCCAACCTCCCATTTTACAGATAGGAAAACGGAGGCTTGAGAAAAGCAGTGACCTGCTACAGGGCATGGCCAGGACTTCTCTGTTGCAGTCTCACCGGCCTTGGCCTTGCCCATCCTCTTTTCCCAAATTGGCTGGGTTGGAAGCCCTCCCCTGGCCCAAGACCCAGGGCCCTGGAGTTCCCTTGTTTGTCAGACTTGTCACAATCCATAATCTTATGGCTGCTATTTTCTCTGCTGGAGCCTCCAGGACCTACTTGGCCAAGGGCAGCCCCTGGGCTGGGAAGGCTGCCAGACAACCAACCAATCTGGGCACAGGCTTGGGGGAAGAGCAAGACTCTCCTAGTGGCAACTGCTGGGCTCCCGTGTGCCAGGGTGAGGCCTGGCAGCTGCCAACCAGCCATGCGACTGTGATGTGACCCAAGCCTCTGGGTACAACAGGGCAAAAATGGGGACCAGAGGTAGAATCACAGCCAAGGGCCCAAAGACCAAGCAAAAAGGCCCGTTCACCTACCCGCCTCCTTCCCTTTCTTGCATCCCAGAGAGGGGAGGTCGGCCCCTGGCTGCCCTGTAAGCAGTGGATGGAGGCTGAGGGACCACAAACCTGGTCAGCCTGCCCCCACTTGAGTCACTCTAGGCAGCTCTCTCTCTCTCTCAGGTGTGGTTTCCTTGATGATGGATAAATCTACTGTGGTCATTATGCAAATCGAAATAAGTAGCTGTTGAAAGCATGAATATAAATGAACAAAAGGGGAAAAAACGGGAAGTATACCGCGAGTGTGAGATGGTGCATGACCCAGGGAGCCTCTTGGGACAAATGGCGATGGGTTAGTGGTACCATGCCAGGACTTAGGAATCTCTGGAGTCTGGTCCTGAATCCCAGTCCCACCACCTAACTAACTGTGTGGCTCGGAGTAAGGTCCTTGACACTTGTGTTTGGATTTCTCCTTTATAAAATGGAATGACAGCTACCACCTAGGAATTTGTGACAACTGTTTACGTACCTAAATGAGGTCTTGCCTACCATGCCAAACTCAGCCAGTGCCCCTGGCGACACTGAACTTCTTTCAGTCCCTGCACCATGAGGGCCATGTCCTTGGCCTGGAGCAGGCCCCAGGCGCCTCTGTTGTCTCCCCCGTTGTACTGGGCTGGCTCCTTTCCATCCTTCAAACTTAGCCTCCAGGTCCTCTCTCTAAAGAGGCCTTCCCTGACCCTGTCGTCTAGCTCGCAGCACCCTCCGCCCTCCTGCCGGTGACACCACTTGCACAGCCGCACTCCTACGTGCCTCCCGGCTCCACTTCCATCCACTGCGAGCTCCATGTGGGCAAGAACCGTGTCCGTTTCACTCGGCACTGAATACCCAGCAACCAGTACAGTGCCTGGCACCAAGGAGGCACTCAAAGAAAATGTGCCAACTGCAAGAAAGAATGAAGTACTGACTTCCACATCTGGCATTTGGTAAGCGTTCAGCCAAAGAATGAATGAAAAGGGCTGGAGTTATTAAACCTAAGGATGTTCGTGCTACACAAATGCAGGGGGAAGTAAATCATAATTGTGATATTTTAATCACTTCCCAGGCAGGTCTTTAAAGCTGAATCTTCTTTTAAAAGATTTTATTTATTTATTTTTAGACAGAGGGGAAGGAAGAGAGAAAGAGAGGGAGAGAAACATCAATGTGGGGTTGCCTCTAATGGGCCCCTGACTGGGGACCCAGCCCACACCCCAGGCATGTGCCCTGACTGGGAATCGAACTGGCGACCCTTTGGTTCACAGCTGGCACTCAATTCACTGAGCCACACCAGCCAGGGTTGTTTTTTTAATCCTCACCCAAGCACATTTTGTTTCATTGCTTTTAGAGAGGGAGGGTGAGAAACATCCACGTGAGACAGAAACATCATTGGGTTGCCTCCCATATGCGCCTGGGCCAGGGGTCACACACAGGTGTGCCTAGACCACAGACCAAACCCACAACCTCAGTATGTGCCCTGACTGGGAATCAAACCCACAACCTTTTAGATACCAACAACACTCCAATCAACTGAGCTACACTGGTCAGGGCAAAGATGAATGTTCGAGACCTCTATTCTGAGGGCCCCTGCTCCCTCCCAAGGCTGGGTGGCCATCTGTCAAGCAGAAACAGTCACTTCTGTCACCCTAGCTCTTCCCCCACCAAGTACACACAATCCCACGGTCCTGACGTTGATGACATTTAACCTCAGCCTCACACCCACCACCAGCCCAAGGGGTGCAGTGACCTGTTTCTCGGAGAGCGCCCCCCGGCCCCTGAATGTGGCAGAGACCTACCCCGTGCACTGCTCTCCAACTTGAGGGAAGGTTGGACACAGCCCTGGCAGCCAGTGAGTTTGGCCAATAATTGTGCGATTCCTGGCAGATGCTTATCTAGTTCCAGAAGAATCCTGTCTGACCTCACCATTTCTACTGCCCACCTCCAGGAACCTCATCCCCTTGCCTCCTCATGGCTGACTGCCTGTTCTCCCCCAAAGCATCTCAGCCCAAGGTGAGCTGGGCTCTGTCCCGAGGCCCTGAGCACTGTCTCCGACGAGCACTGCTGTGCGGCTGTGCCTCCGCAGCTGTGATGCCGGCCGCTCCCACACTGCTTGGACGTTTACCCAGCTGGGCCTCTTCAGTGCCCCGCGTTGAAGGCAGGGACCAGCTCTCACCCAAGGTTCTGTCCCTAGTGCCTGGTATGTGGCCTGCCACCCAGGAGGGGCTCAGTATGTTTGTTAACCAGAGATGAACAAGTATTTGAGTAGACAAATGAAAAAAGCCCACTGTCTCCTTTAGTCAACCTCCCTCCTCCAACCTCCTTTTTGGCTGGAAACATTCTCACCTAAATACTCTTACCATAACGTGAGCCCATCCGCATTGTTCCGTTCTCAGAGAAGGTTACCCCCTTCATGAGAACCTCTCTCTGCTGCCATCTACTAATAACAGAGATGCTCTTTTTAGCAACCCTGAGAGAGAGGGATTGCCATGCCTGCTTCACCAGTAAAAATGCGAAAGCTAAGAGGTGAGGTCACTGGCCTAAGGTTGGGAGAGGATTCCCATTTAAGTCTGAATGCAGAGCCCACATTCATAAGACAAGGTCACTACCACCCTCCTGCCAAGCTGGCTGGTTCCAGAGAGGATCAGGGATGGGTGCTCTGGTGATTTCTCTTCCTCCCTGCCTCCCTCCCTCCCTCTGGCCAGGGAAATCCCAACCATTCCCACTTGAATGGGGCTGAGTGGCCCTCCAGACTCCTGGCCAGTGTCCCCCAGGAGGGGTCAGACAGCCCATACTCACAGGGCTCCTCCTGTCCAGGCAAGGTGATCTGATGCTTCTTTACTCCGTCGAACAGGAGCTCCGCGCCACCACTGCAAAGGAGGGCCAGAGAAAGGCAGCCAGGTAAGCTCCGGCAAAAACCTCGCTGAGACTGAAAACCGAGGAGGGGTCTGGCACAAGAAGCGCAAGAGATGCTGAAATCCGACATGTAGAAATACTTCGGGCACCAGTGACTGATTCTCAAAAATGACTTCCTGATGTGGTACAGTAGGGTATAAATCATTTTCCCCAATAACCAAATTTGCAGACTTTTGTTTTTGCTCCTCTGCTTTCTCAAGAGGCAGCTAAGCATACAGGTTCAGGTTTGGTGCTCTTGGCCTCAAGATGGAGACCAGCCTCCACCTCTGCCTGACCCCTAGACCTTAGGCATGTGGTTCCATGTTCTCGAATCTGTCCTGTGTACAAAAACGTCGAGAAGCCACCATGAAGCATGCTGAGGACACTATGTGTTGAAGGGTTTCCCCTGGCCAGGGGAGGGTGTGAAATGTCCCTGCTTGTGCACACCGGGTTTTTGCTGTCAGCACATCCAGAAGGTGAGACTCCACCTGCTTATTAACTTACAAGACCGTTCTCCATCTCATTTCATCCTCAGCCATTCCGGGGAAGGTAGAAGGGAAGCAGATGTTATTAACTCCGCCCGATGGAGAAGCAGGGGCTTTAAGAGGTTAAGTGACCCATCTAAGGTCACAGAGGCAGTGGCTGAACTAGGCTTTGAATTCTGACTGGTTTCCACTCAGCCCCAGGAGCCTTGATAGAAAAGAACCAAGACTCCCCAAGGTCAGAAAGCCCCTTGAGGGCAGAGTGTAGTTCACTTGTGTACACCAGCACCTGGACAAGGGAAGGCTGGTTCAGCAGAGATGCTCGTGGTCAAGGCCAGAAGCCAGGGCTTATGATGGGGACACCAGGACTCATTCAGTGCCCCACACTGCCTCTCCCTCTTGGTCTCCTGACTCCATCCCAGACCTCACGTGGATCTTAACTGAGAAGGCCTTAACAGACTTTGGGCGGGTGCGAGGCCTCCCCCCACTGCCCTTGCCCGATGTAGAACAGAGATGTCCTGAGACGGTCCACTGGGAGGCACAGGGAAGGCAAGCATTGTCATGGGGGAAACATGGGGCGACTGTCATCGAACAAGGTCATGCTTTGTCGATGCAGAAATGTGGAGGGGGAGAGGAGGCCCATCTGTGGCTGTGTGCGGGGCTGTTTCAGCTGCGAGCCTGCACAGAGCCTCCATTTATCCCCTTCCAAGAGCCTCCTTCTCTCCTGGGTGGGGGCTGGCACATGCAGCAGCTGGGGTGGGGGAGGGCCACAGGCGAGGGGCTCAGGAGTTGGGGGTCAGAGAAAAGGGGTGGGAGCTGGAGGCATGGGGACTTAGGCCAAACCTGGTGGTGCCAGGCTCGGAGGCTGGGCTGTTTTTCCCTTTACAATCGGATGAAGGATCAGGGGGTGACCTGCCTCAGAGAGCGACCTGTCACCACTGGGCTCACTGGCCCCCCACAAGAGGGGTTTTTGCTGTCAGCACATCCGGAGAGGAGTAAGGTGTACACCCAGCCTCTGGAGTGACGCAGGAGGCAGGTAAGGGGCTTGTTTTGGCCCCAGCAGAGAACCAAAGCTAAAGGCTTTTATGTCTGACAGGGTTTGCTCTTCTGAGTCAGCTAAAGAATTACATCTTAAGACATCTCATCTTCCCTCCACTCCCCGTTCTTGGTGGGAGTGTCTCTTGGTACCAGTGAATGATACAGACATCCCCCAAATCGCCTTTACTTGTAGTTTAGCACCTTCTTATCTTATAATTTTTAATTTTTGTTTATTTCCTCTCTACCTGTTGGATTGTAAACTCTGCCTGAATCAGGGCCCAGCACACAGCAGGCACTCGATTTGCCATGAGTGAAAATGTCCAGTTCTCCTACTTCTTCTCTAACTTCAATGAAGCTCCCTCCCTTTGCCAATACCTCCCAGACTCAGGAAGGAGGAAAAGGGAAAAGAAGGAGGGAATCTCACATCAGCACCGTAGGGGCAAAACACATTTGTACTACACACGTTGAATCCCACGTGACCTGAGGAAATGCTCTGCTAAGGATAGTTCAGGAGGCAAGACAAAGGAGAACACAATCGGTCACTTGTAAGAGTGAGGAAGGTATGAGCGGTCTTCTGAAGAATCTGCCGGAGCTGGCGGGGCTGGGAGGACATCTGCTCTGGGGAAAGAGGCCAGGTCCTCACCAGCCCCTTGAAGGATCAGGGGACCAAAAGTAGAGAATAATGGGCATGGCAGCTTCTCTGCAAACCTGTTCAGGTTCAAAGTGAAGGGTGAAGGGAGTCTACTAAAAGATGGAAGGAATGAAAGAAAGGCCAGGGGCAAAAACATGCATCAAGTCAAGGACAGAGAGAAGGAATGTGGGTTTGCCTTGCATTTTGGGCATTCCTGCTTCCTGAGAAGCTGTGATTCTCATGAGACACTCTGCCTTCCTGGTGCACACTGCTGCTCTGAGGAGTCTCAAGCAACAGTGAGGCTGAGGTGCGAGATGGCCAGGGCAGAAAAGGGGTAATTAAGCTGGTCTGTATGTAGCTCTGGAGCGCAAGGACCCTCTGTTCTTCACATGAATTCCTTACTGCTGCCGCCAGACAGAAGGCATTTCTGATGAACAAAATACCCCGTCTGATGCAGTGAGATTGAAAAGTTGGCTGTAGACAAACCTTAACACTGGCAGTCTGCAGCTTTTCCCTTTTCAGCTCTGCTGAGGCCTGTCAAAGCCCTGGGGATCCCCCTAGAACCTCCAGGCAGTGGGGGCCATGGCTGGGCCAAGGGTCAGTAAAGCAAAATAGTCAGGAGACCAAACCAGTATGGTTCTAATTAAAATCAATTAAAATGCACTTAATATTCATGAGACTGCCCCACTTACAAGGGACAGAAATACTGAACACTGGGAAACAGAGAGCGTTCTATTTATCTTTGTATCCTCAGTGCCTGGCTCACTGCCTGGCACATGGTAGGCACTTAATAAATGACTGGTGAATAAACTACCCAATGAAGGCAAAACATAAAAGAAACTGGGGGTATCCAATGGAAGAAAAGGCATTTAGGGACAGAGGTTTTAGAGTTCCCATTCCAGACTTTTCTTTTCACATAAGCCTTGGCTTGTTTATCTTCTCTCTCACAAGCGCGCGCACACGCACACACGCACACACACAGAGACCAAGCTTCCATATGACTCTGGAAATGACACCACCCATCTCTTAGGGTCTTAGTTTCTTTTCCTTCTAAACTCTGCAGTTTCTCTCAGCTCCAGAATCATATGTAGGCGAAGAACATAGCGGATTTGAGGAGACATTCTCCCTGATTTGTGCTTCTTCAGTTAATGGTGTGCGCCCCATTTCCTGCACTTTTCATCTGCGCACACTGTACTGCCAGGGTTGGTCTCCTTCACTGTGCTATCTTATCCCTGTTATCTCCACGACTGCGGAGGGCATCCAGCAAATTTACTGATGTCCTAAAAAGGCCTCCGGTCTGTTTATCTCCCCCAAATCCTGCGAAAGAGAAGAAAGGAGTCTCGTCTTGGCCACACATCCCACGAGAAACAAGGCTTCAAGAACCCTGTAGGTAGACTTGCTGCCAAAAGGAAGGAATGAAGGAGTTGAAGGGTGGTCCTTCTTGGTCCTAGGAGCTCAGGTGCTAGACTCACCAGCCGGGTCCAAAACCGGACTGGCAAAGGTGGAGAGGCCGCCTTTTGAGTCCGGCAGGGCGCAAGGCACCGAGGAGTCCCCAGCCCGCACTTCCACAGCCAAGTATGCGCCTCTATTCCTGGACATACGGCCTCATCGCCAAAGGAGACCGAGCCTCTCAGGCCCTCTGAGGCGATGGCGTCGCTCAAAGAAGGAGCCGGGAACCTCGGAGATTCGGTCGTGACAGACCCCAAGACAGAGGGAGAGGAGTTCCGGGCCCCAAGACTTCACTTCATCCCCACGGCGCCCCCAAGTCTCTGACTCACCCGAACTCCACCTCCACTGATAAGGGAGCTGCCATGTTGAGGAAGCCGAGCTTGCAGGAAACTCCCCTCAACTTCCTGCGTGCCCGCCCACTTCCGGTCACCTTGGCGGAAAAGGCGGGGCCGTCCTCAGCTATTGGTGACAGGCCTATCGGAGAAGGGTGGTTGACGGGGGCTGTGCGCGATGTACTTTGGGGGGGCATTGGGACTTGGTCCCCCACTCTGTCTTTTAGAGACCGGGTTCAGGCCACCGGAACAGGCAGTAACCTGTTGGAGCCTCAGCTAGGTGGAGGAGAGCCTGCGTGAGCAAAGAGTGCGAGCCATTTGACTTTACTTTGGAATAATTATAAACTGTTTTCATTCGGCACCGCTTGGGCGAGCCCATCCATCCTTCTGAATAAATGACCCCCAAATCTTTATTTCGTACTCAGAAATCTCTCTCCTGAGCTATTGACTCGCTATCGCCACTCCCTTCGCTGTCGACTTAACTCATTCTACAGATATTTATTGCATGTCGTCCGTAGGCCAGGCTTCTTGGTGGGTGCCGTGGGTGCAGTGGTGAACGGGGTGGACAAGGTTCCTGCTGTAGCGCGCTCACAGTGAAGTGGGGAAAACAAACTCTGATTGAATAAACATACCAGCCTTACTATTAAATGTAAAATCTCAAACGGAAAAAAGTGACCCAGAGTAATCGGAACTCAAAAAGAAAACAGACTGGACTTGAGTTTTGAAGCACGAACAGAATTAACTAGGTCGATGTCAAGGAAGAGAAGCTTCTGGGAGAATTCCAGTGTGGAGAACAGAAGGTTCAAAGGCTGTGGGTGGGGAAATACGCTGGACCACCAAGGCAGGAAGGTGCAGGCTGGGGAACAGAAGACCTGGGAAGGGATGAGGCTGGAAAGGAGGGCAGGGACCAAACCATGCCTTGTGAGCCAGGTTAAGAATTTCAATCTTGGGCCTGGTTGGTTGATGTGACTGGACTGAGCACCAGCTTGTGAACGGAAGGGTGTCCAGTTTGATTCCCAGTTAGGGCACGTGCCTGGGTTACCGGGCAGGGTCCCAGTAGGGGGCATGCGTGAGGCAACCACACATTGAGGTTTCTCTTCCCCTCTTTCTCCGGTCCCCTCTCTCTAAAAATAAATAAATAAGTTGTTTAAAAATTTTTAATGTTTTTTAAAGAAAGAATTTCAGTCTTGGCCCTGACTGGCTCAGTCGGTTAGAGGATCCTACCAATATGCCACAGTTGAGGGTTTGATTCTACGGTCAGGGTACATATGAGAATTAACCAATGAAAGTATAAATAAGTGGAACAACAAATTGATGTCTCTCTCTCAAGTCAATAATAAAAAAATAAAACATCCTTTCTGGCCACATTGTGGGGAATGGTTTGGAGGGGAACAAGGGAGAAGACAGGGAGACCTCAGGAGCCGGTTACAAAAGCCTAGAGCACAAAAGGAGTGGAGATGACCCAGGGTATCTGAACCCCAACACTTTTAAAACTGAACTCCGTGTTGGTAGTGCAGCCTGGTGGTTAGGGGCAGAATGACATAATGGTTAAAAGGTTGGAGTTCGGTCCCTACCACCTTCGCTTCATAATCAGTCCCCACCACCTTCAAGCTGTGTCTTTGGGCAAGTCCCTGAATATCTTTGTGCTTCAGTTTCCTTATCTGTAAACAGCTCCTACTTCAGAAGGCTGTCATGAGGTCTAAATGAGCTTTGGCATAGTGCCTCTCTCCCTACAAAGGGTCTCATGTGTACCACTGTCACCCACTGAAACACCCAAGCAAGAAGCCTTGGATGTTGTTCTTAATCTTTTCCTACATCCAGTCACTCAGGTTGGATTTCTCCCTTCTAAGCTGATGTTGCCACCCCACTTTCTTCCACTGCCACCCACCACCCTTCACCTGCTACCTGCTTCTTGCCTGAAAGCGTGTCTCCAACTTCCTCTCTGTGGCCTGGGCGTCATTAGACAGTTAAACTGCACGGACAGTCCTGAGCACCCTCTATGTACCAGGCACTGTTGCAGCCCACTAGCAAAATGAGGACAAATGAGACAGACACAGCCCCGGTCCTCAAACAGTGCAAAAAAGTCCTGTGCCCCACAGGGCCCACATTCGCCATGCTGGGTAGGTCACTTCCCCAAGAACATTTGGGACCAAATGATCTCTTAAAGTCCTTTCCGCAAAAATAGTCTAAGATTCTGCCACTGGACCCAGCTCCCCGACAGCAGAAGCCTTGCCTGATTCGTTGGTGATTCTGTAGCTCACACTGTACATTGTAGGGGGTTGGTAAGTGCTTGCTTGCTAATGAACGAAGGAATGAATGAGCACATATCACTCCACTGCTCAAAATCGTTAAATGATTTTTTTTTGTTTGTTTGTTAACAAGACAAGGGCCTTCCTAGAAGGCATTCAGGTCCCTTAGAGCCTCTGTTCCCAGCCCCACTTCTTATGTTGAGTCTCCTCTGGCCCCGGGAACTGCCACCTCCGAGCGCTGGAACCAGGGAGCTGGGGAGCATCTGCAGAGCTTCATCCGTTTGGCAAACATTCACTGGGCACCTATTCAGTACCGGGCCCAGTGCTGGTGCTGGGAACACAATGGTGAACAAAACCAATGGGGTCCCCGTACTCCAGGGGCTGATGTTCTAGGCCAGGGGCCCCAACCCTTGGCCTGTAAGGAACCCGGCTGCACAGCAGTTGAGCAGCAGGCCACCCAAGCTCCACTTCCTGTCCCCCGTCTCCCCGCTCCCATCCCCTTCTTGGAAAAATTGTCTTCCACAAAACCTGTCCTGGGTGCCAAAAAGTTTGGAGACCACTGTTCTAGGAGACACAGATGGAAAAATGTAAAAAAAAAAACAGACCAGGACTTCCACCAAGATGGAGGCATAGGTGGAAACACCTTGCGTCCTCGCACAACCAAATCTAAAAACAACAAAGTTTTAACAACAATAAATGCAACCAAACCACACAGAAAACTGACAATATGGAGTCCGAAAACAATGAAATGCTCAGCTAAACTGGTAAGAGGGGCGAAGCCAGCAGCGGAGCGGGTTGGCCAAAAAGATCCCCGACCGGGGTGGTGCGTAGGCAGCCGAAGGCACGGATCCCAGGTGTGGGCTAGCTACAGGCGGACACAGGGAAGAGGCGCGGCTGGCTGTCTGCGGTCGGTTGAGCATTTGTGTGCAGATAAACCAGTGAAGAGGCGAGCATTGAGACCGCACGGCGCAGGGCGGCGGGCTCACATATTTGCGCTCAGATAAACAGGTGGGGGCCAGCGGTGGGACGGACTGAGCGAGCAGAGAGGATCGCCACTGCTCCCTCTCTGACCCCGCCCCCACACAGTGTCACAAACCAGCGACCTGGGTGGCCCCTCCCTGGTGAACAACTAAGGCTCCACTCCTCATACGTAACAGGTACAAACAGATAAAAACATGGCTCAAGAACAACTTGGAGCCCCAGAGCCGATAAATATAAGAGATGAAGAAAAAGCCAAACTTTCAGATGCACAGTTCAAAACACTGGTGATCAGGATCCTCAAAGAACTGGTTGATTTTAGTCACAAATTAGAGGAACATATGAAGGCTAAACTAATTGAAATGAATAGTAATGCACAAGAATCCAATAGTTATGGAAAGGAAACTTGGACTCAAATCAAGGGAGTAGACCAGAAGGAAGGAAAAAATGACCGAATAGAAAAGAATGAAGAAACGAGAATTTTAAAAAAATGAGGAGAGGCTTAGGAACCTCCAGGACATCCCTAAATGTTCCAACATTCAAATTATAGGGGTAACAGAAGGGGAAGAGGAACAGTCATGAGTGGAAACCTTATTTGAACAAATAATAAAAGGGAACTTCCCCAATCTGGCAAAGGAAATAGACTTCCAGGAAATCTAGGAAGCTCAGAGAGTCCCAAAGAAGTTGGACCCAAGAAGGAACACACCAAGGCACATCATCATTACATTAGTCAAGATTAAATGAAAGAGAGAATCCTAGAAACAGCAAGAGATAAGGGGAAGTCACCTACAAAGGAGTTCCCATCAGACTGTCAGTGGATTTCTCAAAACAGACCTTACAGGCAAGAAGGGGCTGGAAAGAGGTATTCCAAGTCATGAAAACCAAAGACCTACAACCAAGATTGCTCTATCCAGCAAAGTTTTCATTTAGAATGGAAGGACAGATAAAGTGCTTCTCAGATAAGACCAAATTCAATGAGTTCATCATCACCAAGCCCATGTTATATGAAATGTTAAAGGGACTTATCTAAGAAAAAGAAGATAAAAAAGATGAACAGTGAAAGGACAGCAAACTCACAGTTATCAACAACCACACCTAAAACAAAAGCAAACTAAGAGGACAGCTAGATCAGGAGGGGACCATAGAAATGAAGATCACATGGAGGGTTAGCAACAGGGGAGTGGGAGGAGGAGAAGGGGGGAGAAGGTACGGAAAATAAGTAGCATAGACAGTAGATAGAAAATAGATAGGGGGGAGGGTAAGAATAGTAGGGGAAATACAGAACCTAAAGAACTTGAGACACGTGTTCATGAACTAAATGGGGGGGGGAATGGTGGGAGAGGGGTGTGCAGGGTGGAGGGGAACAGAGGGGGGAATAGAACAAATGTAATGGCACAATCAATAAACAAACAAACCAACCACACAGTAATCAGTGTTATGAAGGGGGAACATGGCAGGGGTGGCGGTGGGCAGCCAAGGGGAAGCCTGTGGGAGCCTGAGGTGGCCCCTAAGCCGGCCCTGGAAGTTGCCTCTAAACCCAAACCCAAAGGATCTGTGGGAGGTGGAGGTGGAGAGAAAGAGGGCACAGGCGAAGGCCAGAGGCGTTCCCTTCCTTCCAGAGAAGTGGGAAGGAGTCCTTCCCAGTCCCCACAGACAGGGGTCCTCCAGGTTCTCCCTGCATAGCCTGGGAGACTGAGCTGCCTTCTGGGTAAACCAGCCCACCTTGTGAGTGCCTGGCTCTCATCTGCTCCCAGGCCTACCCTGCTCATCCTTCTAATTAGTAACAGTAACAGTGTATCATTCTATTCCTTCAAGGAGTACATATTGAAAGCCTACTTTGCACCTGCCAGGGGCTTTACATGCATTACCTGACTGACTCCTCACAGGGGTTATTATCCCCATTTTTCAAATGAGAAAACTGAGGCTCAGAACCAGTAGCCCGCCAGCGGGACCCCTTAATGTCAAGCCCAACCCCGGGCTGCGCTGTCTTCAGGATCCCCGCCTCCCGTTGGGTTCGGCTCACCCTAGTGCCTTCCGCTGGGAGTCACGCAGAAGAGGGGCTTGGGCCCCATTCCCCTGTCCCTCCCAGCAGGCTGGCCAGCCCGGGCGTCGGCCACCATCCCCTCAGAAGCTGCTTGGGAGACAATGGTGGGGTCGGCGGGGGGAGGCGAGGGCGCGGGTGCCCCCTGCCCGCTGCCCTTTGTCTTCCCGCCTGCTCCCCTCGTGCGCCCCGGGAGGCTGGGAGGCGCCTCTCGCAGGCTTCCTCCTCCCTTTCTTGTGCTAATTGGGTGTCAAGCTGAGATCAGTGAGAAAGAAATCCTCTCCGGCTCGGGTTAAACTGCCGCCAAAGACCAGGGCTGAGCCCAGAATATCATTAGAACCGGAGGAAACAGGGCCCCCTCCTCGTGGGGGAGGGGCCAGTAGCTCATTCAGGCCCCTTTGAAAGTCACTTGGTCGCCCCCTCCATTGCCGCCATCGCTTCAATGGGCCCCTCGGAGGTATTTAACCTTCTTCCCTGGAATTGAAAGCGATACACCAAGCACTAGCCTGGGCGGCCACTTGCCTGTCCCGAGGGCGGTAGGACCTCCCGGGACGCTGGAGGCAGGCCCCTTGCAGCCAGCCCCTCGGGTGCAGGTTGTGGATGGGAACACTGAGGCTCCCGGGGAGACTTTGTGCCTCCGAGCCCTAGATTCCTCATCTGTGGAATGGAGGTCAAAATGGCAGCTGTTTTGTGTTATGAGTTTAATGAAACAATGCACGTGAAACGCCCCGCACAGTGCCCGGCACGCAGGAAACGCTCCCACAAGGTGACCATGACGTCTCAGGAAGTGGTTCGGCTTCCCTCAAGGGTCTCCTCGCGGGGCTCCCGAGTCTCTGGAGGTGTGCGAGAGCCAGTGCCCCTCCGCTCTCCCTTTTCACATCCAGCTTCAACTCTACAGCCCCCCCCCACCCGCCCCCCGCCAGCCTCACTGCACTTCTCTAACCTGCCCTGCTGGCCGTTCACCTCCAGGCCCTTACACTTCGCTGCTCCTTCGGGCTGGGAAACATTCCCCTCCGACTGTCGGAGCTCTTCTTCGAAAAGTCTCTCCGACCGGGAAACACGACCCCTTCAACCCCAACCCGGCACCGGGTAGGACGCCAGGCGTGGTGCAGCACGCCTTTGCTTCTTCACTGCTAGGCCACTCAGCCCAGCCCCCAGGCCGTAGATCTAGAGCTTGGGTCTCTAGCTTGCTCCCCAGGGACCCCTCACCTCCCACCCCACCCCCCTGCCCAGACGCCTTTAGAATCTGCTTCACAGATGAAATTACTCAGTGCTCTGTAAACAGTGAAGCACTATATAGATGTCAGGAAGTGCCCAGTAAACAGTACCCATCGTTAATTAATATCACAAGTGCGTTATGAGCACCTACTGTGTGCACGGAGACAACTCACACAGCCACGGCTTGGATGAGGCTGCAAGGCCTAGGGGCCCACCAGTCCCACTCCTTCATGGAGGGGCTGATGGGGCAGTGGAGAATTTATGCCTAGTCCAAGGCCTCCCTTATACACTAGCATATACCGAGGGGATATCAACTCCAGACCCTGTGCGAAGAGATTTCCACGCATGGTCTTATTGCACACCCACAAGACTGCAACGTAGAGTCCTGCAGGACAGGAAACTGAGGATGAGCCTAATGGGCTTCAACGCACACGTCAGACTGCTGAGGTGGGGCTCCCACCACTCCACACTCCTTCCGGTGCCTGTGTTTAACCTGGAGGAAGGCGTGGAGAGCACGTACTGCTGAGGGTTAAAGATACTGGACCGTGCTGTCAGCCAAACCCAGCCCTATGGAAGCCCTCAAAAGCCAAAGGCAGGGTCTTCTGGGCGGCATCCCTGCGGTCCTGCCAAGGCGGAGCACTGAGAGCCAGTGAGATTGTGCAAGCTCTGCGCGCCCTCTGCTGGCCACACTCAGGCACTGCAGCCATGCCTACCACCCCTCCCCCAACTCCACTTAGCATCTTCGCGGAGGGGCCGACTACCACCCCTCCCACACTTGCCCCCATGAGAAGCCCCACACTCCTTTTCCAAAGGTTATTTCCCCAGGAGGCAACCCAGGTTTTTTATCCTGGCCACCCTCCACCCGAACTGCCAGCTGCTGGCCTAGGGTGTGGCCTACAGGCATGTGTGGAATGAAAGGTTTTCCGGCTTTCCCCGCTTTGCTTTCCCCGCCGTCCTCTAACCCAGAAGGTGGGTGGGACCACAGGGAGGGCTGAGGGCTGGGGTTTGCATTCCAGCTCCCACTACTGCTGTGTGACCTCAGCCAAGTGACACAGATCATGGTGAGGGTTAGTGAAGACAAAAACCAAGGCCACAGTGCCTAATGCCCTCAGCAGAGGTGGACCCCTTCCCATCAGGCCAGCAGCTCCAGCCTGGGTGTGACCCCAACGTGGGGCCAAGGGCACTGCTGACCACAGCCCCGTCAGACTGCTCCAGGCCTTCCAGAGCTCTGCCAGGGCTGGCGGGGCAGCCCTGCTGCTTCCTCATAGCCTGACACCAGTAGGGAAATGCACCCCAGGCAATGAGAAGAGCCAGGGTGTGGAAGGGGGACTCTGCCCTGGGGTCAGGGTCTCTCTCCAAGGCTCTAAGCAGCCCTTTCCTCACGATGGCTTCCTTCAGCTCTCTGAATCCCCGATTCTTCCCATCTCACCGAGGACTGTCACTTACCTAAAGATCACAAGCTCTTGAGTGGCATGCCTACTTTGGACTTGCGAGCTAGACGCCTTGTAAGACAGGTGGGAACTGAAATGTGGGGTGTGGCATCTTATCACCCTAGGTCCCCATGTGTGAATAGATGGGGGAGTGAAGGGGCCGGAGGGGCAGGAGGGGGTGGGGCCTGAGGTCGGGTGAGCTCAGGTGGCAGGCACACAGGCTGGGGGGGGGGGCGGTCAAGGCAGTTTATTGGCCCCTGAGTACTCCCCACCTGTCCTCTCAAAGCAGGTCAGGACTGAGATGGAGAAGATGACAGACAGACCCACAAAGACAGAAAGGCCCTGCCTGAGGGACAGCCAGGCAGACACCTGGGGAGAGGATAGGAGAGAGGGAGGCCATCCCATCTGGGTGGTCTGCTGTAGGTGGGGGCCCTTCTCCCATCCTCCCAGAGGCGGGCAGAGCCAAGTCACGTTAGAGCAGCTTTGGCGCCTGGAGCCTCTCTGACTAGCTGACAGACGGCCACCTCTGCCCCTGCCCACTGTGCTGGCTCCCCGAGTCTGGGCCAGCGTCTGCCCCAGCCCCATCTACAACACCCCTGCTCTGGGGAGTGCTTGGATCCTCCACCGCCCCCCGACCTAACCCAAGACATCATCCCCAGGGGCCCAGTCAGTCTCAGCCGGGGGACCTGCCTGGCCTTGAAGACAAACGTGGACATGAGGCTTTCACAGAAAGCCGCTGGGGGAGGGGGGTGGCGGCAGTGAGTCACTTGGCAGTTTGAAGAGGGAGGGGGGTCAGCGCCTCACAGTTGAGGGGCTGGGCCCTGCTTGCTTTGGTCTGGCATTGCCCAGGACCCTTCTGGGGTGGGAGCTGGGGCTCTGGATCCAGCATCCGCTGGCCCTGAGAGGGATCGGGGCGAATCACAGCTTTTCCTCGCCAGCCTGGATGCGGGTGTAGGCCTCTTGGTCCAGGGGGACGTAGCGGCCCTTCCGGGCGTCCATGTAGAACAGTGGGTCTTTCACAACCGCAGGGTTGAAGCCCTCCTTCCGCAGCTCTGTCTTCTGCAACTTGAACGTCCCTGAGGGAGCAGAAGACAGGGAAGGAGAGTCAGAGGGTGCAGGGCAGGGGCTGAGCAACCCACCCAGCAGAGCTGAAGATGGACAGAGGGCCGGAGAGACCAGGAAAGGGCACCGCCCTGCCACATGAGGGTGAACCCACCACTCAGGTGTTCCCTGGAAGACAACCAGGACCTCTAGAAGCACAACTTGGAACTCAGTACCTACAGTCCCCAGGCCTAGCACAGAGCCCGGCACATAGTAGATCCTCAATGTTTGTTCCATCAGTGAACCAATGAACCTTCTGTCTCTGAAGGCTCAACCTGCTCACTTGTACACAGGGAGGTCAGTTTGCCCACTACCTGGCAAGTCTATGGGTGAAGGTCAAGCGACAACCACCCAGGTCTCTCCAGAAGAAACCCGGAAGGGGCCGAACCTGTTTTATGAAGCTCAGGCAGGAGGCGCAGGAAGATGGGGCGGGCGTACAGGGGCAGTTCCTTCTCCAGGAGCTGGGCAAAGCGCTCCAGGTCACAGTTGCCAGAAGGGTTGGCCACAGCAGCCATCCCAGCTCGGCCCTCAGTTCCTGAGGGCAGAAGAGTGGACAGTGAGCGGCCCGCGGTGGCCCCTGGTGGTACCTTCCACACACCCCCAAAAGTACCTGGCACTTCCACGCCAAACACCGCCACGTCGGCCATGTCCAGCAGGCGGCTAAGTGTGCCCTCCACCTCCGTGGTGGATACGTTCTCGCCTTTCCAGCGGAACGTGTCCCCCGTGCGGTCTCGGAAATACAGGTAGCCCAGCTCGTCCATCACCAGCACGTCGCCTAGGGAGGTGTTAGGTGTGGGCAGTCTTCAGCCAGCCCAGCTCAGGGCCCAGGGGCTTGGGCCTAGCAGTCCTCACCGGACCCCTAGGATCTGCGTAACTGTAGGGGAAGGGACTGGGGGAGTCCTGGGGAGGTGTTCCCTGAAGCGGGGGGGAAGGCCCCTCATGCCTCTCCGACAGGGCTGTGAAGGGCTGGGAGAGGTGGCCACTCACCGGTGAGGTAGGCCTGGTCCCCCTTGCTAAAGACATCCTGGGCAATCTTCTTATTGTTGGCACCCTGGTTGAGGTAGCCATCGAAGCGCCGCAGGGGGTCCTGCTGAATGATGCGGCCCACCAGCTGGCCGGGCTCCCCTGGGGGCAGGGAAGGCAGGGCCAGATTTGCTTGGGTGGTCTCTCCCACTGGCTCCCCCGTCCTCAAATGTACCCTGCAGTGTGACCGGTCTGACTTCTGGTCACACTGCTTCTTGCAGAAAGGCCCATCTCTCCCCGCGCCAGAGCCCCCCAGGGCAGGCCACTCCTCGTGACAGGTCTGACACGGTAGGCACACGGTGACGTCTGGCCAGTTGAGTGGACAGAAAGAGGAACGAGCAGATGGAAGGGGGGCCAGGCCCTAAGGGGACAGTCTGGCCAAAGCCAGTGGTCCCCAGGCTCCTGGCTCAGCTCGAGAGCTTCCTGTTCCACACCACTCGACCCTTAGGGCCCCAGGAAGCAGTGCCGAGGGCGGCCATCAGCCCCGCCGCACCTGCAGGGACTCAGGCACAGGGCTAAAGAGCTGAGCCAGGGTCACCCAGGAGGCCTGGACCCAGCGCCTCCGGCACAGAAGTAAATGAACAGACAAGGCTGGTTGGCTGGGACAGTGAGAGAACGGGTGGATGACTGGAGAGCTGCAGGAATAAGTGACCTGTAGCCCTGAGAGAACTGGGTGATGGCCACTGGTCGGAACAGGGTTACCACACACCCAGCCCGGTCCTGCCTCTCTCCCGGGCCAACCTGCCCACCCGCCGCCCCCCATTCCCACCCCAGGGCCGACCTGGCTGGCAGGGAAGGCAGACGCCGTCGGGCCCCCGGATGAGCTCCATGGTGTCCTCGTTGACACGTACCAGCCGGATCGGGTACACGAAGGACAGGATGCGGCTATTGAAGCCGCAGGCCCCTACCTGTAAAGGCCAAGACTTGGGCCTGGGCTCCCCACCACGGGTCCAGAACTGGACAGCGTGTGTACGGAGGCCCGAGGCACCCACAGCCCCTGGCCGGAGCCCCGCCCGGCCCTGCTGCCGGTGCCTCCCACCCTGGGTCGCACCTGGCTGTCGAAGTTGCCCAGGCTGCAGTTGCATTCAGTGGCCCCGTAGAACTCAGCCACCTGGGAGATGTTGAAACGACCAGCAAACTCGGTCCAGATGGACTGCCGGAGGCCGTTGCCCAGTGCCATGCGCACCCGGTGCCGGCGTTCCGCCTCCCGGGGCGGCTGGTTCAGGAGGTAGCGGCACAGCTCCCCGATGTACTGCACGATCTGGGGGCGAACCTGGTGTGAGTGCGGCCCCTGAGGACGCTCTCACTGCCTGCCTCCCCACTCGGCGATCCTTTCCCTCGCCGGGTCCCCACATCCCCCACTGAGCAATGAACAACTGGCTGCCTCGGCTGCAGGACAGACGCCCCCACGTGGCAGCAGTGGAGGGCCGTGAGGGGCGGGGTCAAGTACAACTCACTCACCGTGCAGTTGTACTTGACACAGTCATCCCAGAAGCGAGAGGCTGAGAACTTCTTCCGGATGACCACTGTCAGGCCGTGCAGCAGGCACTGCCCGATTCCCACAATGTTTCCTGAAGGCAGAGTAGGACCTGGAGGTCAGGGACCTGGGACACCCTACCCTGGGTCCCCCTCTTCCCTGTCTTCACCCTCCAACACCAATGATCCGGCCTCTCCCCTGGTGAGACATCGTCCACAGCTCCCCAGTGCCCAGGGAATGAAGTACACTTGCTCCCAGAGCCTGCGGTGCTGGCCCCACATGCCTGCTCCGATACCCATGATGCACCCATAATGCTGTCATTCAACCGAGGGGACCAAGCTAGCCTGCGCTGTGTCTGCACCTCACAGGGCCTGCCTTGAGGGCACCTCTTCCAGGAAGCCTTCCCAGCTGTCACGGGGCTGCTCCCTCGAGCTGAGCTCCTATTCCCCAGCCCTCTCACACTCACCAAGCTCCTTCTCATACCATGAGAGGTGGGTTCCTGTCACTCGCTCTGCCCCAAACACACACCCAACTCTCAGCACCTTGAGGGCAGGGACTATATTAATTTATTTCTCCCTTCCTTTAAGGCCCTAAGACCAAGCAGTGAGACCGTGCACATGTGCGGAAACAGAACAGCCAGACCAGCCAAGGTGCCCTGCAGGACACGGCCACACGTGCCACCTGACTGGAGTGCCGGTGCTCATTCAGAGCCCCAGTCAATGGCCACGGCTGGGTCTGAACCCTGATTTTACTCTAAAGCTCATGTGTTTCTACTGCAACACGCTGCCTGCCAAGAGCGGTGGGGTTCCCGAGGCCCCAGGGGTTCTGGAGACGGAGGGCGGCCCAAGGTACCTGCCGAGTGGTAGAGCGGGAGGCAGTCGTAAACAATGTCGTCGGGCCGCATGCGAAATCCGTAGTACACCAGGGCAGCCATGCGGTAATACCTGGGAGGGCAGAGGGCTCAGTGGGCCCCCGGGGGGCAGACGGGGAGGCTCCGGGGCCCTGCTGCAGCCCTGCCACCCTCCCCCAGACTCCGGCCCCGTACCTGCTGTGCACCACGATGGCGGCTTTCGGCAGCCCTGTGGTACCTGATGTGTAGATGTAGAAGAGCTTATCTGAAAAACAGACCCACGGGCAGCTGTGAGTGGGAGCAGCACAGGGCCGAGCACGGGGTGGGACGTGTGCCCACGACCACCTGCCTCCTCCAGAAAGCCCGTCCGATGAGCCTGGACACCCCTGTCTGCTCTCATGCCTGCACCCATTCCATCAATAAGCATGTTCTGGGTGCCCCTCTGTGCCGAGCCCAGGGAGACGTCGGTGACCAGTTACTGAGTCCTTCCCATCACACCTTAGTTCCCACGTATCTTTTGCAATCCTCAAAAATCACTTTCTGTCACCGTTCCCAAGTTTATGGCTGTAGGAGCCGGGGCTCAGAGGGTGGCGCAGGCGTCCGGGGTCAGACAAGGGAAGCAGCAGAGCTGGGGTACGAACCCAGCCCAGGCTCTGGAACACCAGGGGATACAGCAAGCCCCGGGCTCCACAAAACAGCGTACAGGCGGGAGGGCCCGAGGGGCTGCCTGGAGGAGGGGAGGGGACGGCAGGCAGCCCAGTGCAGAGAGAGGTCGCAGCCCAACAGGGGCCTGCAGTGAACAGGGACTGAGTGAATACAGAAGGGTCCTGCCCTTGGCCCAACCCTGCCCCAACTTCAGAACCTCCTCAAAGGCTTGTTCGACGAGTCAGAATCCGATTTTGTGAGGTCCGGTGCGCCCGGCACTGTGCCTGGCACGTTCACACACATCAGCTCATTTAACCTGCATGGTGGCCCCAGGGCTACTGTTCCCAATTTCCCAGATGAAAAAGGGAGGTGACATGACTCACTCCAGGTCACTTGGCAAGTATGCAGCGGAACCCAGGCGTCTGGCCCCCAGGACAGTGACCTCTCCTTGACCATCTTAGATCCCCTCTGTGGGGATGGGGGACTCACCTGTGAAGCCCTTGTCAGGGCGACTGGGCAGGTTCTTGGGGGCTTCCTCCAGCAAGGGGTCCAGGTGCTTTGCGTTGGCAGGCGCCGAGCCGGGCTCCCACGGTCCGGAGCAGAAGAGACTGAGCGCAGGGTCCAGGCTGGCGTGGATCTCACAGACGGCTGCGGGGAGACGGGGCGGATCAGCAGGCAGGCTGTTCCCAGGAGTGCTGCTCACACCGGGGCTGGCCGTGCTCTCGGGGGAGGCTGGTTGGATGGGCGGGCCTCTATGTTATAAGGAGCAACAGCTCCCATTAGCCACTGGCTGACTCTTGATGTGCATCCTGCTGCCCACACCGCCTAGGACACAGGCACCAATATCCACCCATTTTACAGATGAGGAAATTGAGGCTCTGAGAACGAGGGGCTTGGTCACAGCCAGGCTGTGCTGAAGCTGGGACCCGAAACCAGCTCTGCCTCACACCCAGATCTGCACTCTTACCGACTGTACTGGCCTCGTCTGCGGAGGTCTGGCCAGAAAGGCGGGATGGGCTCAGAGGCTGGCCGACCCCAGCCTCTTCAGACAGTGGGAACCTTCTCAGACTCCTGCATGTACTACAGACATCCCAGTGGTCCCCCGCCCTGGGCACAGGCTGGTCCCGGCCCACCTGGCCCCTTTTCCTTGGGCTTCCTTTTGATTTGCCCAAATACCTCCCCTGTCCTGGCTGAATCCTTCTACCTCCCCTTTCAACATCTTAATAACCTTCCCCGTCCATTATCCCACACCCCGCAGCAGCGTGGGAGAAAAGAACAGGGACACTACAGCCAAGCCCAGGGCAACTCTGGGTTCCGCCACTTACAGATGCTTGCGTAACAGTGGGTGAGCTGCTCACCTCCCTATGAACCTATTTCCTCATCTGAAAGCCAGTGACAGTCCCTTCCCCACCAGGCTCTGTGAAGGTGAGAGCACCGTGCTCAGCACTCGGTCGGCGCCCAGTGTGGCAGGACGCGGAACGAGCTCTGCAGGGCAGCAGAGAGAGGTTCCTGTTCCTACTTTACAGACGAGGAAATGAGGCCTGATGAACCACGAGGATGGTTACCACTAAATCCGAGGGCTCACCTAGCACCAGCCACTGTGTCAGTTCCTCTGGTGAAGGATCACCTTGATGATGGCACGTGGGAGGCAGCACAGTGAGGAAACTGGGGCACAGAGAACTCCGGCCCCTTCCCTCGGGTCACCAGCTCACCAGGGTGGCAGAGCCCGGGCTGTGTGGCTCCAGGGCTCCTGCCCTTAACCCCTGAGCTATGCAGCCTCCCCCAGGGCTAGACAGGGGAGTGTGGTCTGTGCAAAGTCCCATGGGACTCCCTGCCTGTCCCCTGCCCCCTGGGGGCTTACCTGGTGCCATCTCACTGCCAAAGATGAGGGCCCGGGCCCGGGAAGTGGTCAGGCAGTGGCGCAGGGCGTCCCGCCGGAGGTTGGTGTTGATCAGCGCCGCCTCCACACCGACCTTGGCCATGCCCAGCCACAGGCCCACGAACTCGTTGCGGTTCTCCATGAAGAGGGCCACCACATCGCCGGAGGCCAGGCCCCGGGCCTGCAGGAAGTTGGCCACACTGTTCGAGTAGTCGTCCAGCTGGCGGAAGGTCCAGTGGGTGTCTGTGCCCTCAAAGATCAGGGCTGTCTTGTCGGGGTGGCGCTGCACCGTGGAGGCAAACAAAACGGGCACCGTCCGCCGTTGCCGCAGGTACCGCTGGACCTTTGCCTTCACCGTCAGGAGCACCAGGCCGCCGCTGTGCAGGAGCCAGCAAGGGAGTTGTGACCGCTGGGGCTGGGAGTGGGTCCCACGGTCCTGGCCCAGGGCGCTGCCCCACGGGCCTGACACTCCTGGGCCCAGTCACCTGCAACACTCTCCCTGTCCATCACCCACTCGCTGATGCTGCACAGGGGCCAGGCGATTACTCCCTCCCCTGTACAGAGGGGGAAACTGAGGCTCTGCCAGCAGATGGCTTGTCCTGCCTTCATGGGACGGGGAGTGGGGCTGTGGTCAAAACTAAGATTTGAAGCCCAGTCCTCTCTGGCTCCACAGTTCAATTCCTACTACTGTCCGCGTCTGCTCTGCGTCATTGGCTGCTCTGTCAGAGCCTTCTGGGACGCCAGGGCCCAAGCTGAGGTCCAAACTCCTCTTCCGGGGCTTCCCACAGCGCCACATCCGAGCTCCCCCCGCTTCTCCATGGTAAATAAAAGGTAAATTTGTCATCTGTCCAGCCTCTATCTCTGTGAGCCCAGCAGGAGCAGCAGAGGGAGGGCTCTGTCTCACTCACCACCTTCTCCTCCACCCTGCTCAGCACCAGGCCGAGTGTTTGTGGCATCTCTGGCCTTAGCCCCCTTTCCAGCTCTGCCCCTGCCACCTCTGACCCCTGAACTCCCTCAGCTTCCCGGCCCCCAGGCCTTTGCTAATGCTACACCCTCTGGCTGGAATCCCTTGCCCCACCACCTTACGGTGTCTCTCAAGAACAACCACCTCGCCTCCAGGAGGCCTCCTCTGGTCCCCTAAGGCCCTGACCCATCGCCATTCCTCCCTGTCCACACTCCCGCAGCTCTCAGCTGCTACCGCCCTTCTTGCAGTGGCCACTCGATACTTCTTCCTGCAATCAAACCAGACTAACAAATGCTGAGTTTCCTGTTCCCGGTGTAGGTCACTGTTTTGGGCGCTGGGACACTTATGTGAGCAAGACTGCCAGGGTCTCTACCCACACTGCACCGCTAGTTTAGGGATTTACTGTGCCCCCTAATTATCTCCCTGACCAGTCTAAGCTTGTCCTGGGCCTGGGTCTGCCTCGCTCCTCTCTGGGCCCCAGAGCCTGGTGCCTGGCACGGAGAGGGTGGCCGTAAGTGTTCCTGGTACAGGATACGGACCAGAAACACCTGCAGAGCACATCGGACATTCTCTGGGGAAAAGATCCTCCCAGGCATCTGATTCAGGGCCCTGCTCTTGAACTCAGGCCAACCCAAGGACAGGACTTCTCCCACAGGATTCTTGTCACCCTCTCACAAGCTACTGCATGTCCTCGGGACCCTTTCAGATGTCTCTGCAACACAGCTGGTGTTCTGTGTCCTGTCCCAGGCCCCCAAGTCTGCCCCAGGCTAAGGAGCACCAGGCAGGTTAAGGAGATTCCCTAGGAGGGGACTGTGACCTTGGAGACGGAGGTCCAGGTACTGTGCCAGGGGAAGGGTGTGGAGCACAGGCTGATCCTTTGGGGCCCAGGTACCCTGGGCTGTTAGAGGCCGAGCCCGGAGAGGTGTGGGAGACTCCAGGAAGGGCTACACCAGGTACTCACAAGACATCGCGCCTGATGGTCTTGATGAAGATCCGGACAAAGCGCCAGCCCCCCGACCCCAGGTAGAGAAGCAGCAGGGAGAACCCCACTTGCGTCCATGGCAGTTTCAGCACCAGCTTGGAGAACAGCAACACTCCAACGAGAGACGCCCCGAGCAGCATTGTGACCTGTGGGCACAGGGTAGTCAGTGGACCCAAGGGAAGTGTCTAGATTTCCCACGTCTGGCCCAGTCAGCCAGGCCACTATGATCCCAAGGGGTCCACGTGAAGTGAGACTTAGAGACACTGGGTGCCGTGGCTGGAGACAGGGCCCCTTTCCAGGGCGGTCTGGAAGGGGCAGGCTAGAGGCATGGGACTTGAGGTCAGGAGTTCCAGCGATGACAGGCAGGAGGCTGGGTTCTAGTCTGCTTGTCCCATCTCTGCCCACAACTCTCCAAGTGACCTTGGGCAAGTCCCTTTCCCACGTCAGGACTTAGTCTCCCCCTCTATGCAATGGGCATAGTGAGATTTGTTCTCATAAACCCTCCAGCCAAAATAGGACAGCCTATTCTCCTGACATCCAGGGTCCCTAACCAAAATGGCTTGAACAGAGGTACTAACTCAAGTGCCTCTGGCTCAACTCGGTACCCAAAGACCTAGGGAAGTTCTATGGACGGACCAGGCCAATCCCCAATACTCAGAGGGACAGCGTCCTGCCGTCCTGGCGGGGAAGGGGCCCTGCTCAGTGTCTGTCCGGAGGCTAGGGCAGCGCCATGCCTCTGCTAGCCCATAGAGGGCGACAGAGCAAAGGAGGTAGAGGCCGGAGGTACCTGAGAGGTGACCGCCCAAAGAGGAAAGAGAATTGAGAGGAGAAGGGCCTTGAAGGCATCCCCTCCCACAAATACCCTCAGCAAGCCACTCAGACGAATATTTGGGGATTGGGCTGGCGGGGGGGAGAGACCTGGCTGGGCTGAGATTAGGACACTTGGGTTCTATTCCTGGCGCTTTAAGGATCTGCTCAAGAGGGCGGCAGATGGGACTGAGTTTTTCTTCGGGTCCTCCTATACCTGGAGAGGGGGTGAAGGTCAAGGCTGTAATGTAGCCTAAGAGCCTCCAAGCCAGAATGAGGACATGGCCTGAACCACAGGGAGCCCTTACAGATCATCTCCCTTTCCTTCAGGAGAAAAGGAAAAGCCGGGAGGAGAATGAACCAGCAACCCCAACTCCAAGGCCATGATCTCCCAGGTTCTCAGACCGCAGGCCTCCCAGAGCCCGCCAGGGATGGAGTGTGGAGAGAGGGGGATGCCTAGGTTCCTGCGGGCCCCTGTCCCAGGTCGTTGCGGAGAGCCCTGGCCCCTAAGGAGCCAGGGTAGCAAAGCACCTAGCAAGGAGACAGAGCAGTAGGGTGCGCCTCCCACCCCAGGCCGGCACCGTCACCTCTCTGCGATGGGGCCGGGCACATTCTCCCGCTCCGGGACCCACCTTCCAGGCTTATGCTCACCCGGCGTCGGCCCCGCCGTGCGGCGACCCGTCCAGATGCGGCCCGGCAGCGGCAGCGGAGTGGGGAGTGCGGGGGGCATTAGCCGCCCCTGGGCGCGCGGAGCCGGGTCTCAGCAGCCCTTCGCCAGCTCCGCGCCCTGCACGAAGCGGCCAGCCCCGCCCGCCGCCCGCCTCCCTCCACCGCCCGCCCGTGGCACTCCACCCCCGTCCGCCTCCAGCAGCCCAAACCGGCTGCGCCGGCCGGCAACACCACCTTCCGCGCCTTCCCCAGGGCAGGCGAGCCGCAGAGCCGGCGGCGCGGCGCAGCGCAGCCCTAGCGCGCAAGACGTCGCTTAGTCCAGTCCGCCCTGTACGCATGCGCTGCTCTAAGTGGCACCCTGGGAGTTGTAGTCCTTGCCGCAAAGACCCCCTCCACCCCCCCCCGCCCCACCCCTTCTACCCCAGGATCAGTAAGAGACAGGCGGACTCTGCCTAGATTCTGAGCTCCCAAAACCCGAGCAGCTGGACATGGGGAAGAGCGCTCCTCCCCGCTACGTTGGCGGAGTCCCCGTGTAGACCCGAGTAGGGTTCTGCAAAGGCCCAACGCCACACCTGCAAGAGAACTAGAAGGGTGGTTTCAGACCGAAAGCTTAGCAGGATTAACTCCAGTCACAGGCTCTGTTGCACAATGGCTAGTGCACTGGACCTCTACTGGAATTTGGAATGGTTATTTAGAGGTTGTGAGTGCGAGTCTCCCTGGAGTGCAGCTCCTCCCTCAATTCCATTCAGGCGTCTCATGACCACAGTACCTGTAGAAGATTCTAAAGAACTGCACCCTTGAGTGCCTCTCACCTCTGCTTCAGGGGTGACAATGAGCCTGGTGTCTGGATGACTGGGTAGGAATACTTCCCTATCCAGGGCATCTCGTAAGCAACCGGGTGCACCTAGTGGTACAAAGGCCACAGGTCCGGAGTCCTGTAACTACTGCAACTTTGGCCTCCCTATGGCCAACCTCCAAATCAGCTACCGTATTTGTCATGCCACTCGCTGAGATCTGGGCCATTGGCCAGATTCCCAACCCCGTACGGCTCTGCGCCTCTGGAGACTTGGCACCTTCATAATGCAAACAAGGTGGGCATCCATGGCTGTCCTCGGTTTTTCAACAGATCCCTAGTCCATTAGTCCAGGAGAAGTCTTTGAAAGGTGTCTATTCATGGAGATTAAAAATTAAAATTTGGTCTGGTATTAGTATTTGGACCTATTTCTTCCAGAGTGTATGTACGGTGCATCCTTTTGGGGGATCTAGGTAAATGAAAGCACCGCCTTTACAGGGCGTGGGTGTTACAAGCAGGAGGCAGCGGTGCTGCACAGGGGTTATGGGCATGGTGTCCAACAGACTTGAGTCAACTTCTCAGTTGAAAATTCAAAGTCCCCTTTCTTCTTGTATGTAACAATGAAGACACGCTAACAGTGACAGCCTCACAGGGCTGGTGCAGTGCCATGGGGAGCACCTGGATTAGCACCTGACGTCATTTGTTATTGTGGCTTACGGGCTCACTGGTCACAAACTGCCTACAAAATCTGGATGTGAAGACTGCATCTGACCCGTAGGGCTCAGCAAATAAAAAGAACTTGCCAAATATTTGTCGAATGAATAAGAGTGGATCGGAAGTGCTGACCTTATCCACACCAGGATCCAGGAGTATAAACATGATTATTTCTGTATCAACTGCTGAGGCCAAATACAGAGAAGGCAAATGAGAATTTGAAGGTTGGTTGGTGACCAGCCGCCTCCCCGCCTGCCTGTTCTCCCTCACTCAGGTCAGTCACAGTGGCAAAGCCAGAGCAGTAACCCCAACAGATGCTGGGCCAGGCCTGAGGGGTAGGGGTAAGGGGACCCGGAGGAAACCAGGCAGTGTGCCTTTAAGTTGCTTACAGGCTACTTGGCCACACAGAGGACTGGCGGAGATTAGATCGCTGGGCTTGCCCTCACCAAGCGCTCACTGCACGTCTGTTCATACCTACCATTGTTGTGACGTCTGCTTTGGCTGTAGTCAGACACACCTGGGCCACCCTGCCAGCTCCGCCTGTGAGGCGTTGGGCAAACTGCCTTTCCCCACGGAGCCTCGGTGCCCTCGTTTGTAGAATGGAAATACCTACCTCCTGGGGCTGGGTGTCATTGAGTCAGTGAGGAGGTGCGTGTCATGCTGTTGACACAGAGCTGGCACCGGCAAGGCCTCAGCTGCTGCAAAGTTGTTCAGCTCCAGGAGGGCAGGGATGCAGCTGTCCGGATCACTGAGAAGCCCCAGCAATCAGCAAATACTCAGGAGATATTTGTGAAATGACTGAAGACTAGGGGGCTTGTGCATCAGAATCCACGGGCAGGGGAGGGCCACGTGGTGGGGTGTGGCAGGAAGGACTTGGTGTGCCAGGCCAAGCTGACCCTGGTGTAGTGAGGAAGCACCAGAGGTTCTTAGGAAGGGCAGGGGCTGGGGGCTGCCGCTGGTGGGACAGGCTCTGCTCAGGCTGACATCAAAGTGGGCTCTCTACCCCCAACATGACCCCCATCTGCCCTGCACTAGGGAACTAACATCAGCCTTAAACCTCCAGACTTCTCTGAGACTGCCATTTGGACTCACCTGAATTGAATCCCCCAAGGACTGAAGTGGTTTGGCCCCTGGCACACAGTAGGTGCCTACCCCAAAGCTATTTAGTTGTGTTTGGCATTAGGGACCTCTGAGCTGTGTGAGTCCTCCCACTCTGGGTGTGTGCAAAGCACATACCTCTGGCTTATTGTGTACATGGTGACTTCAGAGGCCTCAAGGGGCCTTCGTGGCAAATGACATCTCCCACTTCCTCAGTGCTTACTGCGTGCTAAAGCAGTGCTCGGACACGTGGCCCTGTTGCAAGACAGGCACACACTGTCTGGTTCACGGAGCAGAACACAGGCACTAGGGGGTGCCATGATGACCTCCAGGATGAGGCGCTGGTCCTCAGCAGGCCAGGTCTATCTGCCTTTAGTACCTGTACCCTGAACACTGCTCTGGGACCAGCTATGAGGGGCTTTCATCTGGCAGAAAGGGAGCTGCCCTTTGGCTACTGGGAGAGGCTCAAAGCCTGGGCGTCCCAGGACGCCCCAGCTGCGTGGCCCTAGGACGCCCCCTGAACCTGGGACCCTGAAGTGAGGCTGCGTTGTTGTGGGGACTGAGTAGGACCTCGAGTGTGGGATGCCTGGCACAGGGCTCGCCACACACCTCTCCCACGACAAAGCAGCGGGCCCCACTGCGTGCCAAGCACGTTCCCGGCAGCGAAGGGAAAGAACAAGGCCCCTGTCCCACCTGGAGCAGACACAATCTTGTAAATGAGTAATTTCAGAGTGGCAAGCAAGAGAACTAGGTGATGTGCTGGAGTGAGGGGCTGCTCAGATGGCGAGGTCAGGGAAGGCCCCTCTTGAGGTGCCATTTGAGCACAGATGTGAACAACAAGCTCTGTAATAACCAGAGGACAGAGACAGGAAAAAGGCCCACATGGTTTATTGAGATGAATGAAGTTTCCAGGCAGATGCTGATGGGGCCTCGCAGGCTGTGTAGGAACTCAGTAAGTGGCACCTATTGCCAGCATAGTTTTTCTTGAGCTGGTGGCAAAAAGGCCACCCTATGCTCTGGACACAGGACTCCAGCCCAGCTAATCCTGACGCCCAGCGCCCACCTCTTGAGCGCTGCAGAGGCCCAGGGTTATGCAGCCACCAAGTGGCTGGAGCAGGTGGGTTAACAGGCTGGGCAGAGGCTGAGTCTGACCTTGGCATCATTGACTTTTACTGACCCGGGGACAGGGGTGCCTGGGACCCTGGGAAGCCATGGAAACAACTGGCAGCTCTGGGAAGGTGGCCTGTACTGCAAAGATCGATGAGGTACAAGGGCGCACATTGACCCCCTCCTCTTTCTGCAGAAATTCAGATTCGGGGAAAGGCCGCGGTTCCAAGGTCAGCCTACTGCCTCCCACACCCGCCCTCTGCCACTGGGGGCTGCCCTGGCTGGGGATGGGGCAGGCACGAGCAAGGCTGAGGCCCTGGTCCCAGGCCTAGCTCTGCTCCTGTTGTCTCATTAGTGACATGCAACGGCACCACCTCCTTCAATAGCTGGTGTCAGTGTGGTAATGAACCTAAGTGCTTGGCACTGCCTGGCACATAGTACAGTTCTAAACAGTCTGTAGCTGTTGTTACTCATAGGAAAACCGAGGCACCGGGAAAGCAAGCAGGAGGCCTTGCGGCCTGTGTTCTAGTTACTCCAGGGAACTCCCTGCCCATCTCCGGGCTTTGGTTGCCTTATCCACCCAAAACCACAGGCTCTGCTGTTCTGGCCATGTATCTCATACTAGTCTAAAGACAGGGCTGCCCACTCCGCCCCAACCCTTCCTCCCGTCTGCCCCACTCCTGTCTCTGACCCAAGGCAAACGCCTGGCTGCTGCTCCACAGTGACCTGCCAGCTGGCAGCTGCCTCTCCCACCTGAGAACACAGACGCAACCTCCCCTGCCTCTTGGGTAAGCCCTTCTACTCAGCATCGCCTCATGACACCACCACAATAACCAGAGGAGGCGGAGGCCGTCTTCCTTCCCCTCTCACTGATGCAATGGGCTGATGGGAGGGGCCTTGCTGTAAGTCCTACTGCTGGAAAGCCGTGGAGTTGGAAGTGTGAATCCTCTTGCCCAACTTTAGACCAGATGTGGGGCGAGCAACTGAAGGGCAGACTGGAGGGGGTGTGTCCTCTCAGGGCCTGCAGGCCTGAGGCTGCCAGTCAGCTGGGCAGGGGAAAGGGATGCAGGCACCCGGCTGATGGGAGCCCTCATTCCGACAGTGGAGGCTCCTCCCTCCGCTGCCCCACCTCCTCTCCGCGTCTGGAATTGGGTATAGGCCTCCCCTGGGAGGACACCCAGCCTGCCCTGGCTGGCGGGGGGGGGGGGGGGGGTGTCCTAGGCCATGGGTGTGGACCAGAGACGGCTGGGAGGGCTGGTTCCTGCCCATGTGCGGTTCTCTATGGGCGGCTTCAGGCGCTCTGCGTGTCCCCCTGCACTGCCTGCTCCCTCCTGGATGGGCCCTCAAAGCCACTCGGCAGTGGTTATGACAAATTCTGATAAGTGATGTCCAAGGGTCAGTGTTCAAGACAAGGAACAAAGGTGTGGCAAGGAGTCCTCTGCCCCTGGGGAAGTGGGTGCAGAGCCAGGATGGGCCGTCCTGGCTCAGCAGCTCAGGGCCTAGGCCAGGCCCTTGATGTGCCCCGGGGGGCCTGTGATGCCCAGCTCCTCCCGCAGGGCCATCAGGGGCTGCTCCCAGCGCCGCTCATAGTACAGGTTGAGGACACTTGGGGCTCGGCGCCCATTCTGAACTGCCCACGGGATCAGCTCCGAGACCAGCGCTTGCAGGTGCCTGCGGGCAGCAGAGGGAGGACACAGAAGGTGCTGAGGGCCGGGCACGCTGCGTGCCCTGCAGCGGTGCACATTTTCTCAGGGAATCTTCACACAGACCCAAGAGGGAGGTAGTTATCGATGCTGATTTTTGAGCAAGGAAGCAGAAGCTCGGTGCAGTCTGAATCCCTCACCCAAAGCCACGCATCCACCTAAAGCCAGAAACTAATGCTAGATTGCCCCGCAGCCACAACTGCATCATTCTGACCTGGCACTGAGGCCCGCCCAAGAGACCCCTGGGTCCCAGGAGACATCCACGCCTCCTCTGTTGCCCAGGGACCCCTGCACCAGGCCAGTGTCACCTCTCCGGCCCATTCTTTCCACCCTGGTTTGCTGGGGGACCAAGGGGGCTGCTGAGGAAGGCTGAGTGCTCTTCTGTGGCCTGGAGCCCTGGCCCCTGTGAGGTCTTCCTTAACCGCAAGGCCCCCCACCACTTGAGAACTTACTGGGCACGGAGGCGTACTGGTCCGAAGAGAGCACCCAGGATGCACATGGGCAGGCCGGTCTGGACAGCTTCAAACCACTTTACCACGATCTCCCCTGGGGGCAGGGTGGGGGGGGGACAGGGTGGGAGGTGAGCAGAGGCCAGGAAGAGAAGCCAGTGGCACTCAGGGCACTGATCAGTGAGGCACCTGCTTCTCTCTAAGGTGTCTCTTCTTTACCAGGGGTCAGCCATGCCCAGTCTGCTCTGTGCTGTGCCCTGGGGCATGTGGCTTGGAGTGGAGGAGAGGGTCCAAGTGTCAAAGGAAGGGAGGGCTGAAAAGAAAGCCTGGGGTCAGGATGCAGAAAACTTGACAGCCAGGCCAGCTCCTACAGGCCTCAGGGGGTTTCTGAGGGGGTTGGGAGAGGGAGCCCCGATGCTTTGGGTGCTGCTGTCTGTGCAGGGGCGGTGAAAGGCAGGGTGGCACAGACGCTGCCATCACGTTTGGGCAAAGTGGAAAATGAGGCACCGAGCCAGCTACCTGGTTCAGAGCAGAGGCAAGTAAGCCCTGCCCTGGCCCCGAACACAGACCCGGGGCACGGGCCTGCTGACGTGCCCTCCCCACCCATGCCCGGGCGGCTGGCAAGGCTGCGCTCACCCAGGATGTTGGTGGGCATCCCCAGCAGGGTGTGGAGCATGTCGTGGACTTCCCGGTACCGCTGGTTCACGTAGGCTAGCTCCTCATCGTCCACGAATCGAGTGGGTGCTCGGGTATCTGGGGAGACCCTCTGACAACCATGAGCCCCCCCTAGACCACTCCTCACAGTCCCCATGCCCAACTGCCAGCCTCTCCTTGACTCTGTCAACCACTCCCACCAAACGCAATCCCCCAAACTCCCCGGGGACTTTGCTTCTGCCTGCACCCGCTGACTGGGGAGTCCTCAGCAGGGGATGCGGTGGCGCTGACCACCCTCCGCCACCTATGCCGACTCCCACGTAGTCTGTGCCTGTGGGACTCCTCGGTGAACCAGCCCTCGGAGGGGGGAGTGGGAGTTGTTTCACAGGTACAGTTTCCGTTTTACAGGATGAAAAAGCTCTGGAGGTTGGCTTCCCAACAGTCAGAGGATACGCAATACTTCTGAGATGTCCATTTAGAAATGGATGAGAAACTTTATGTTGTTTTTAACACAATTAGAAATCAAGTAAAAAGATCCATAGCCCCTGGCTGGTGTAGCTCAGTGGATTGAGCGCGGGCCTGTGAACCAAAGGACTGGCACATGCCTAGGTTGCAGGCTAGTCAGGGCACATGCCCGGGTTGCAGGCCAGTTCCCAGCAGGGGACACATGAGAGGCAACCATACATTGATGTTTCTCTCCCTCTCTCCTTCCCTTACCCCTCTAAAGATAAATAAATAAAATCTTTAAAAAAATCCATAGCATGAATTAAGGACCCTAGAGTGCCTTGGGAAGGTCTCAGGGTGCTCTCCCCCACCACCCTCACCTTCACCTTGAGAACTCCTGCTCACCCTTTATGACTTGGCTTAAGTGCACCCTCCACGGGGGACCGTCTCTGACCTTCAGACAGATCAGGCTGCGTTCCAGCCGCCCCGGAGCAGCCTGCACCCGCCCGGAGCACTCAACTCGCTTGTGTCGCGATGTCTGATGCATGTGCTTCTTGGTGTCCCTCCCCCAGACCCGGGCTGTCCAGTGCAGCGCCACTCACCACACGTGGTCACTGCACCTTCAAATGTGACAAATTTCAATTGACATGCGCCATATATGAAAAATACTGGATTTCAAGGACTTAGCATGAGAAAAATGTCAACTCTCAATAACTACAAAAACATGGAGTACATGTTGAAATGATATTTTAGACGCACTGGGTTAAACATTATTAAAATGAATTCCGCTTGTTTCTTCTTGCTTTAGCAAAGTAGCTAGGAGCAGATTTTAAGTGTCCTACGGGGACTGCATTCACTTTCCTCGAACCGGGCTGCAGCGGCCTGTCTGCGAGTGGGGGCTGTTTTGCTCACTGTTTTATCCGCAGGGTCTGCCTGACGAAGCATCTCTCGAATGCACGGGTAAAAGGCCAGTCCCAGGCACCTTTCTGACCCCAGGCAGGAATGCTGACTGCCATGTTGCCCACCCCCTGCCTTTGAGTCCTCAGCAGCCCGTGGCGGACAGAGCGGGAAGGAATGGTCCAGTGTTCCTGTCTCGAAGCACGGCCTCAGCCTGTGCAGAGGCCGAGAGGCGTGATGTCTTCACTGCTCTGGGGCTGCTGGCTCAGTGTCGTGGCCTGTCTGTGGCCTCACTGGGTCCTGGGTCCTAATGTCTTCTGCATTGTTGTATTTGCTGTGTGAAGCTGTAGGCGAGCACAGTCCTAGCAGCTGCACTTACTGAGTCCCTACTATGTGCCTGCACTGTCAGATGTCCTTGACATAAATTACACTTCATCCTCCTGACCATGTAGGGGCAGGTGCTATAATGAGCCTCAGATGCAGAGGAGGAAAGGGAGGCTCAGAGAGAGAAAGTAACTCGCCCAGGATCACCCAGCTGATCAAATGGCTGAGCTGGAGTTTGAAACAGTGTGCTGGTTCCACAGCCAAGAGCTTTAACACCCATTATTGACAAGGCCTGTCAGTGCCTGGAACATAAACATCAGGTCCCTTCTCCTCAGATGAGGAGTCTGAGCCTCAGAGAGCTCCATGGCTCGCCCAGGCCAGCACGCTGAGAAGAGGCAGGACCCAAACCGAAGCCACTCTCTCTTTGTTCTTATTCAACTCAAGCTACTCTGAACTCCAAAGCTCATGCCTGTAATCTTTTTTTTTAAATTTTATTTATTTATTTTTAGAGAAAGAGGAAGGGAAGGAGAAAGAGAGGGAGAGAAACATCAGTGTGCAGTCCCCTCTCTCAAAACTCAGGCATGTGCCCTGACTGGAAATCGATCCAGCAACCTTTCGGTTCACAGGCCAGTGCTCAGTCTACTGAGCCACGCCAGGCAGGGCGTCATGCCTGTAATCTTGAAGCCACAAGGATGAACGTATTCCCTACCAATGTCCACCTCGGGGAGGGCGGCTTCACGTTGAACCTTGATCTGAATCTGTCAGTACAAGGAGTCCCTCCCACTGTGGGCTGCAGCTTCCATCCCGCAGTGTCACAACCTCTGGGGCGGCTGTCCCAACTCGGGCTGTGACCAGCCAAGTGCCCAGGGAGGCCCTGGCAGTCCTGTCCCCTCCACAGTAACAGGCTAAAAGGCTCTAGGCAAACTTCAGAGGAAGGCTGTCCCTCCCGAGGTGACACCTGGGGCAGGTCACCCTGGTAGGTTTCCCATTGATGAAATAATTTGCATACTGGCGAAACTGGAGGACGATGGTATGAAACGGGGCAGGGGCAGGAATGTGTGGGCGCAGGTTATTTTTTCAGGGTCGGTAACCTTCCAGGGCAGTGGTTCTTAGCCGGGGACATTTGTGGTGTTACAACTTCCGGGGGAGGGGGGTGCTGTTATCTGGTGGGTAGAGGCCCAGATGCTAAAACATCCGGCCAGGCACAGGACAGCCCTCCCCATAGGAAAGAAACATTCAGCCCCAAAAGTCAACAGTGCCGAGCATGCGAAACCCAGGGTCAAAGAAACGCTCGCTCACTCCTTCACTCCCCAGCCTGTGGGGTCCTTTGTCGGGATGTGTCTGTGCTGGCAGGTGGGAAGGGGACGAGGGAGGTATCTAGCTGTATCCTAAGGTCCTTTCGTGAATCAGGTGTTACTCTCCTGCTTGAAATTCTCCATAGCTTTCTGCTGCTCCTACTGCAAAACAGACTCCCTCCCATGGTTGGCTGGGCCCGGCCCACTGACCCCACAGCCCAGTGGCTGCTGCCTCTGACTCTGTCCTCTGCTGCCACATGGGTCGGTTTCTCTCTCCTCAGACACTCAGGGCCCTGCACTCCCGCCAGCCGCTCTGCTCAGCACGTCCCTCCCGTCTCCCCTCAGGGCTGGCTCCTCCTCCTCCTCTAAGTCTCCTCAGAGGGGCCACCGCGGCTGCCACCTTATCTAAAGTGGCACCCACCGCCATCAGCCTTGTCCTCCCTAATGGGGACTGCTGTCCTCACAGCACGGTCTTCTAGAACAGGAGCTCACGGGCAGGCCCTTCGCCGGTTTTGTTCACTGCGTAGTAACTGCTGTGTACAGTGTCTGGTAAGTTCTAATTGCTCAGTAAATATTTGTCTGAGTTTTTATATGGCAGTTTCTTCCTTTTACAATGCCAGCTACCTCCCCAACCACAATATTTGCTTCCTAAGGGCGGAAACCTTGCCCGCTTAATTCACCATCATGTCCCCAGGTCCTGGAACAAAGGACGACATGCCAGACGCTAAACAAACCAGTTCCTCAGTAACTGGGACCTTCCCCTCCCTCGGGAGCTGGACAGTGCCAGTTTGTCACAGTCTAGGGCAAGTGTGGTATCTGGCACAGGGGACACGGTGCAGCGGTTAACAGCATGACCTGGGTTTGCACACTGCTGCCATTAACACCGGCTGTGTGAAGTCAGCGAGGCACTCGACTCCTGTGGGCCTCACTTCCATCCATTAAATAGGATAATAAATAGTGAGACACTGTGACAGGGTCATTGGGAAGGTTCGGCAAGATCATGTATGAGCCTGGTGTCTGGGATGCAGCAAAAAGTTAATAAGCACAGGCCAGAGTTACCACTTGGAGCGGTTACCATCCCATCTACCTACCCCACAGAGAATGACAAAGCCTTGGCACAAGAGACTAAAAAACACTCCTGCCCACTCTGGCAGCTCAGGGCTCTGCCTTCCTGGGGTCATCACTCCCATGCCACTCATCTGACTTTCGAGTGATGGCCACAGGCACAGAACCGGGAAACTCACATTCACATCCAGGAAACGAAGATACTCGCGACCGAGGGAGCCCTCAGGCAGGCTCTGCAGCTTGCCCAGGTCAAGGGTGGACAGAGAGATCCGGGGACGCTCCCTGCAAGGCACAAGGCAGGACTTAGGTATTGGGAGGGTCCGGCAAAGGCAGGTGAAAGGTTCAGTCGGAACAAGGTTGCACCAGGTGAAGAGGCAGAGCAGCAACTGGGCCACGAGTCCTGATGGAGCACCTCCTAGGTGGCAGGGACTGAGGAGACTACCACAGGCTAAGGTGGTGGTTCCTGCCCACCGGTGCACAGTCTGGGCAGGCAGGCCTCAGGTGTGATTGGGGTACTCACAAAGGGCACTGCAGAAGGGGATGGGGGTGTAGCCAGCATGTATACGGGTGCTCGGGGAAGGTACAGAGCCCTGTGGCTGGAACTGGGCTGAGGCCACCACAAGACACCACCTACGGGTCATCATAGCGACTACATGAATGGCATCCCTGGAGCCTGGCAGTGCCTGGCCTGTGCAGCCACCCCTAGAGGAACAGGACTGACCCGATGTGACTCCAGAGACAGCAGGATCCCCACAGAACACTCCCACCCCCTGAGACAGAGCTAAGACCTACTGCAGGATCTGGGCGCCCTCTGGGTCCCTCTTCATCTGGTCCCTGAGGACCTTCAGAGCACGGCGCCCTGTGGTCTCCCCTAGAACTGCGACCATGTCTGAAAGGAAAGACATTGGGACAAAGGTAGGCTGTGCTCATTGGTTAGTTACTCGCCCTGATCTGAGTCTTAACTTCTAAATGCTAAGACAGGGATAAGATCCACCTCTTAGTTATGAGGAGTCATGTCAAACACTTAACAATCACTCTGCACACAGTTCGGGCTCAATATAGCTATAGTTATAATATTAACATCATTAATCTACTGGGATGGGGTGGCTCTGGTGAGTACGGTGCTCTCAAGAGGTTTCAGATCACTTTCCCATCCATTATCACAGCACCACATGATATCCCCATTCACAAGCACAACCCCTGTTACCAGAGTTCTGGGTTGGAGCCCAGGTGTGGTCACTGTCTAGGTGACCTTGTTCAAACTGCTTCACGTTTCCAACTTTTGGTGTCCTAGTTTGTGAGGTGCAGATAACACCTTTCTAACAGAGTTAACATGAGAAGTCAAAAACATTTATGAATATTAAATAGCACAGTGAGCCAGCTGCCAGAATGTGCTCAGCAATCAGTTAGCATTATTGTTTGTATTACTATTGTTTGTGTTATAAGGAGTAACCATACTCCTCAAACTTAAGAAGCCTGGGAGGGATGAGAAAGGGGACGTAGAACCCTAGGATGTTCTGGTCACACACCCACCAAACATTTATTGAGTATTTATTACCGGCAAAGCACTATCCAAAATTCTGCCAGTACCGAGGATCAGCACAGTCATCATAGTCTCTGACCTTATAAAGTTTAATTTCTAGCGGGATGTTATCATCCAGTGCGTACTTATAAGTTATCTATTTAGTCCCGAGGGTTTTCATGGTGGCTGGATGACAGAATACCCTTCGAAGTCGTTTCGAAAGGCAGAAGCTCAGATTTCAGGCCCCTTCCACCCACCCTTCTCCACACCTCACAGATAAAGTTTAGTATGGGTTTAGTATGTGACCCAGGCATCTGCAGTCCTATGAATGTTCCGGGTGATTATGAGGTACAGCCAGGTTTGGGTATGCCGACCTAGTCTATTCTCCAGTTACCATAGGAAACGGAAGCCCAGACAGAGGTCGGGACCTGCCCTCGCTTCCAAGGCAAGGGTCTCCAAGGGAGCGCGGGGCGCGGACAGCTTTACCGTGGCGATACGGGTTGTAGAGAGCCATTCCGGCAGAGCCGGCGGCCAACAGCACCTTCTGCAGCGGGGAGGTGGGGATGTGGTCGGGGTAGAGCAGGCCGGTGCCGTGGCTCGCGGTTCGGAAGGGCACATCTGCCGGGCAAGAAAAAGGCCGCGGTCAAAAGCGTGTGTGCGAGGGTCTGGGCGCCAGACTCCTTCCCGCCTCCGCCACTTGCCTCCACCAGGCCCAAGGAGACGCGGGAGCACGCGGAGGGGTCTCATGGACTCTCGCAGCAACGTCGTCAGGACAGCAGGCAGGTCCCTACGGCCAAGGGAGGACGCCCGGGGCAGGGTGGAAGCCCCAAACCTCCCCGGCGACGGAACGCCGGAGAGGTCAAATGAAATGACTTCAATCCCAATTGCTGAGTCGGGCCTTTTGGGGGGCGGGGACGGAAATCATAGCACGGGCAGGAAAGGGCCCTATCACAGGAAAGTATGAGAAGGTCTGCCACCTACCCTACAGATGTAAAATTCTCCCCATTTCACTTCACCCCCAGAAAGGGTCTCTAAGTGAGCCCCGCCACCACTGGGGCTCAACGCCGGACCGTCCTTCCTTTGCCCCAGCACCTTTCCCCCGAGGATAATAAGAGGAGAACCATTTCCGGCTGCGACACAGGACGGTGCTCGCGGGAAGGACTTTGCTGGGTGAGGGACTGTACGGCACTTCCGTGCACCAGGCTTGACCGCCAGCCCGGCCCGCCGGCCGGCCTGGGATATGGGGTCCGCCGGCTTGGCGCGGTTGCATGGGCTCTTTGCGACCTACAAGCCCCCGGGACTGCACTGGAAGCACCTGCGGGACGCTGTGGAGATGCAGCTTCTGAAGGGTGAGTGCCTGTAGCCTGACCCACGAGCGCGCTCCCGTTCTCCCGGGAGTCCATTTCCGCCTCTGATCCTCGAGCAAAATAAAGTCATGTGAGCCAGTCGCCTGGGCACAGCGTTTTCTAATCATGTATGCTGTACTTTATGACTCTTCACTTTCCTTTGTGTTCAAATGAATAAACAGACTCACTGTCTGTTGTCATACGCAGTTAATAAGGAATAGAGTCAGATTTCGAACTCAAGTTTTTTTCTTAACTACTTGCTATTCTGTTCGCCGCGCCGCGGGCCCTGTTCTGTCTCCTGCATCTCCATACTTTTCTGCCCCTCCTCCCCCTGGTGATCGGACAGAATGGACAAGATGTCCTTTACCCTGTGTGTGCTTAGGTCTCAATGCTGGGAAGCCTCCTGCCCCTGAACAGCGTGTTCGCTTCCTGCTGGGCCCTGTGGAAGGCAGCGAAGAGAAGGAGCTGACCCGCACAGCCACCAGTGTGCCCACCCTCGCCAACCATCCGCTGGGTAAGGCACATTGACGGTGTCCCTTCCCAGGAACTCTGCCCAGTGTCAGTGTCCCAGGCCTTTGAAGGGCCACACGGTGGAGGTGAAGTATTTGATAAGGAATATGCAGATTTCCGGGGGAGTAAATACTTTAGGCTCTGCAAGCTCAGTTCTGCCATTGCAGTGCAAAGCAGCTGTAAGCAATATGTAAGAGCAACGAGCCTGGCTGTATTCCAATAAAAGTGCTCTTATGAACACTGAGATTTGAATAATTTTTTTGAACTTCATGTAATTGTTATATATCCCAAACTAGTAATTACTAGATTTTTTCGAACCATTGGAAAATGGGAAAAAAATTAACTCATGGGGCATTATGAAAATGGGATTTTGCCTGTGGACTATATAATTTGCTGCTCCCTTTACTATTCTGGGATTCCAGGTGGGAATTGAGACCCTAAGGTAGAAGTCTTAAGGAGGTAAGAGTCGGGAGGCTATGGGAGGACCAAGGGGCTTGACCAAAAACCTCTAAATGCCTTAAATGGACATTCAGTGACTCTACAGTATAATAATAGCAAGTACGATGTATTAAGGATACTTTGTACTAGATACTGTATCAAGCTTTTTCCAAATACTGTCTCATTGAACTTTCACCACAGTCCTGTGAAGTGAATCCGATTTTCATTTCTCAGATGGGGAAACAGGCTGTGTGTTGTTGACATTCAGTAATGCAGCCTGGGTGCAGTCGGCTCTTTTGCCACCCCAGTCCCTCTCCTGAGATTCCTCCTGAACTACAGAGGCGTGAATGTTTCTGTTGTATTCCAGCATTCACTCCACTTTTTTAGCAGCTTTTTCAAGAAACAAAATTGATATACACAAAAAACTACACATATTTTAATGCATATATTTGGACCGCTCCTTCATTTTTCAGTTGTTATTTTCCGAGCAGCTAGTGAGTTCTGGGTTCTGGAGGTAGAGCTGTGAACACACAAACCCAGGCCTTGCCTTAAGGAGCTCATAGCCTCCTATGTCCTTGCTGGGAGCGTGGCCAGGACTCGCCTGCAGGTGCTTGAGTAGGGAACCCTACGGTCTTGATTCCCATTGTTATGCCCAGTCCTCTGAGGGAATTGTGATTGGTAGAGTACCCAGGTCTCTTAGGTTGCCCTTTCTCTGGGCCCAGGGAACTGAAAAAATGATTCCATGGAGGGGAAGCTTGAAAGGCCAACCTGGTCCTGGTCTGGTCTCCATGAGGCTCCATTCTAGGAATGAGGTCATCACACAGCCCAGAGCCATCCTCGTTTGTTGAGGAAAGGGACCTCATTTGTTTCTTTCTAGTACGAGGACCAGCATTCACCAGCCTGAAGGTTGGCGTGGGACACCGGCTGGATGTCCAGGCCTCTGGGGTGCTTGGTAGGTGCTGTGGCGAGCCGGGGGGGCGGTGCCGTGATGGAGGGTTGGGGGAGGACTGGGGAAATGCTGGGAGCCAAGCCCACTTCCAGCGTGTCAGCCATTTCCCACCACTGCTCTCCCTTGATTCCTGCCCCGAGTCCGACCAGCTGGTGGAAGGGTGGAAGTCACAGTCGCCCACTTTTATCAACATCCTTGTGTGTGACGTGATACGAAGCCATTTGTGCACATGTATTCACCATGGTAACCTTACTTGGTAGATACTGTATGACTTTATGGGAGAAGGTAAGCTTCCACAAGCTTAGTTGACTTATCCCGGGTCACATGGCTAGTGAATGTCCCTGGTCCAAAGTGTGGAAACCGTCCTAGCCTGCACGGGGTAGCAAAGCATGTGACTGTGGCCCCAGTAGCCAAGGTCCGGTGTTACTGGAGCTGGACGCACAAAGCCCTGAGTCATGAGCCATTTGTGTGCCAGGGTCAGGCGGTGTCCACATCCTCCAAACGCGACAGTCACAGTCCCCTTGTCTCGCTTCCTGGAGTACTGGCAGGCAGACATGATCTCACGTCCCCTCCCTCTCTGGGAGTGAATGGAGGGCCATTCTCTCCTTCAGCCAGAGGGACAAACAGAGCCAGGGGAGGGCAGGGAGCAGCCACAATGCCCCTGTTGACAGGGCCCTTCCTTTGTGCAGACTGAGAGTTGCCTCGGTCTTCACAACACTACAGGCATCATCAGACGACGTTTTAATCCCCAGTTCACTGATGGGGAGCCCGCAGCCCAGGGAGGCCGAGGGACATGTTTCGAGCCACCCCCAAGTACAGTGCAGGTCTGTGTGACCGGGCCGGTGGTCTCTTTCTTTTGAATGCATCAGAAGTCCTTGGGGGAGCTCGAGAAGCACCTGTGGCCCCCCCACCACCATGAGTCAGAGTCAGTGCATTTGGGTGGGGCCCAGAAATCTGCATTTTCAAATATACCCAGCGGAGCTCACGTGCTCCCTGTAGAAGCTTTCCTTGCCCCCTTGCTGGCTTCAGCAGCATTGGAGGGGGGATATTCTGGTGGCAGGTGTGGGAGCTGGGGGTCCCAGGGAAATGGGAGGTGGGGACCAGGCTGAGATGAGCCTGGGTGCCTTTCAGTGCTCGGCGTGGGACACGGATGCAGCCTTCTCACCGACATGTACAACGCTCACCTCACCAAGGTATGGGGGGGTGGGACACTGGGGACAGCCTGCTTAGCCTCTGGTCCTTTCCCTGGGGGTCACTGGCATGATTCCGAAGCTGAGAGAATGCCCTTGGGACCCCCCAGGCCGTCAGTGAGCCTCGTTTCCTGGTCCATGCAATGATAATGCAGTAGTGACTGCTGGCATTATTGCACACCGACTGCTTTATGCCCAGGACTACGTGGACTCCCTCGTGGATCCCTCACAACTTCCCTGCAAAGTGTCGTTAACCCATTTTACAGGTGAGAGATCTCAGAGGTGGTCACTTGTTCAGGGTCATGTAGCCTGAAAGGGACAGCTGGAATTTGAACCTGGATCTTTCCAATACCTGAACCTGACCGTGACACCATTCTCTCCCCAAGTCTGAGAAGGGCACATCCCGGGGACTGGGGGTCCCATTAGAGGGCCTGTGTTTCTAATGGTTAAGGAACACAAATCCCGGAGCCAAAACTGGCTTCTCCCTCTGCCGCCTGTGGGCCCTCAGTGGATTACCGAACACCTAAACGGGAGCAGTGATAGTGCCTCCTCTGCACGGGCTCGCTTTGCAGATGGAGTCAGTGCGACACGTCACATAGCAGTGTCATTGGCTCGTGGTGAACACTCCGTCACTGTCACCGTTGTCTTCATCTCTGTCGTCGTCTGATCTGTGGCAGAGGCACACATCATACTTAGAGGGGTGAAGGGAAGCCAGCGGCATGCTCTGAGGGGCCCGCTGTGATAAGTTGTCGGGTTTGCCTGGCGTGGAGAGGTGCGGAGGCAGGGGTGGTTGTAGAATATCCATCAGTGCCCTTTGAGGGCTGCTGGTCCTGACTGGCAGAGGAAGGTCCAGTGCCCTTCCCCGGGGGCAGTGGGGCAGCCGGGCAAGGGCTGAGCTCCCTGATGGAAGACCTGAGGGCCCCCCACTGTAGCCTCGGCCTAGCACCTCCTCCCTCAGCACTGAGGCTTGGAGCAGGGATACAGCTGGATCTTCCCACCCCTGTCCTCGCAGGATTACACAGTCCGCGGCCTCCTGGGCAAAGCCACAGACGACTTCTGTGAGGACGGGCGGCTGGTGGAGAAGACAACGTATGGTGAGAGCCGGCGGGAGCCCAGGGCAGTGGGAGGCGCAGCTGTGGCCGCCCCCAAATTTGCTTTCCGTTGACTCCTCACTGCCACCCTCACAGTTACTCTGAGACACTCCAAGCTTGGGCTGGCTACTGGGGGGCTTTGGACACATTGTTCTGTCTTCCAGGAACGCTCTGTGCCCCCTGTGCCTCCTTACATGGCTTAAATGTCACCTCCCGGGGAAGCTTCTCCAGCCCCTAGACTTAGACTGGACGGGCTCTTCAGAGTAGTAATTGGCCAGCTCTTAGCAATTAGCCGCCTCCGGACCAGCCTCACCCATGAGAGCAGAGACTCATGTAATTTCTTGCCTGTGATCACACACACATCTCAGGGCCTGGGGTGTGGGAGGGGCCTATCAGATAGGGGTGTGTGTGCGAGGGATAGATGGGGATGGACTGGGAATGGGTGGGGTGATGTGGGTGAATGGATGAGTGGACGGGGGGTGAGTGGCAGCGTGGCCCGTTCTTCACTCCTCTCTCCCCACGTTCTAACCCTTCCCACACAGTGTTTTGCATTTATTTGGCCTGTGTTTTTGAGCACCAGTCATGTCCCAGGCACTGGGAAGACATGGTAAATCAGAGGGGGTCCCCAATCTCAGTGAACTCAGAGTCTCCCAAGGAGAAAGACACTCCTCTACATCTTCTAGAGAAGACTGAGAACATGGTGAGGCTACGCCGTGTATTTGTGTGCGTAGTCGTGCCAGCATCCAAAACACGTGTAAAGACAACTACCAAGGTGGCGCTTCTGAGAGGGAGGAAGCCAGAATCTGGAGAAGGGGAGATACTTGTTGGCGCTGATCTGAATTCCTTAAAGAACATTCACATATCAGCAACATAGTCAAGAAATAGGGTAAAAGCCAGAGAAAACTAAATGGTGGTAAAGAGACCCAGGTGGAGTGGCGGAGGCCAGGAGGAGTAGGCAGCATGCTGCCGGAGGGGCTTCCTGGAGGAAGCAGCATCTGAGCTGGCAGTAGATGGGGGAAGGCAGTGGCAGGTGCGTCTGGGTAAGGCAACAGCATGAAGGAAGCCAGGCAGAGGGATGGGAGGCCCACTCCCACCCGAGCTGGCAAGGCTTCGGCCCCCACACCTGCTCCCTAACCTCGGGAGCCATAAGTTGGCACCTGCCCCAGCTGGACCACAGGATCAGCCTGCCAGCAGAGTGTGTGTCCCCACGCTTTGCTGCTGCCTGCCCCACAGTCACGCGGTGGCACCAGCAGGCAGAGCTGCTCCCACTTTGCCACCTGTTTCTGCATTTGGACAGATGGCACCCGCCCTCCCAGGGTTCCTGGCACGAAAAACCCTAGACTGGGGCACAGGAGGCCTGGCTCGGAATATTAGGCAAAAGTCACATTACATCTTTGAGCTTCATTTTCAGATGAAAATGTTTTTACCCTGGAGTCTGAGAGTCAGTGAAAACGTCCTTAAAGTGCTGAGTTCACGTGCATCTTTTTGAAAAGAGGGGCCTGAACGTTCATGATTCTCAAAGTCCTCTCAACCTCCAAGTGGGACCCTGGGACCAGAGGATGCTCCGGGAATCCCTTCAGATTCCAAGGACGGGCTGGTTTGGGGAGGGGCTTGTCAGTTTGCTGTTGTCTTGCCTTAGCGGGCACTTGTGTGCTCACCGTCCTCTGACTTTCAGACCATGTAACCAGGGAGAAGCTGGACCGCATCCTGGCCCTCATCCAAGGCTCCCATCAGAAGGCCCTGGTGATGTAAGTGGGGCCTCCAAGGAGGTGCTGGAAAACAGTGAAAGGCACCACAGGGCTACCATAGGCTCCGCCCACCTGGGGCAGATTCCGAGGATCTTTTCAGAGCCTGAGGTCAATCAGGCATGAGCCATTCATTCCTTCTACAGCAAACAGAAATGCCTCTGTGTCAGGTCTTGGGCCAGCCCATGGGGAAACTGAGGGAACAAAACACCAGCTGCCCTTCTGGGGTGTGTATGGAGAGGAAAGCCAGGGACCCACAGCATTACAGCACCGCCGGCGCGGGAGCAGCCAGCACGTGTGTGGCTCTGGGAGCCAGGGAGAGTGCGCAGGGGAGGCAGACCACGTTCGTGGCCCCGGAGGGACAGGAAATGGCTGCTGAGAAGGCCCCTGGAAGGGCAGGGGAGGTCAGGGGCAGATGAGGAGCTTCAGGAAAGGCATCTTTCAGGAGTGGGCAGTCAGCTCAGCTGCCTGCCTTCTGATTCCCAGGCACTCCAACCTTGACCTGCAGACCCAGGAGGCCTATGAGTTGGCCGTGAGAGGCTTGATCCGGCCCATGAACAAGTCCCCGATGCTGATAGCCGGCATCCGATGCCTCCACTTTGAGCCTCCAGGATTCCTCCTAGGTAAGCTTCCCTGGGCAGTTGGATCAAGGAGATGGGACTCCTGGGGCTGGGGAGTCACGGCAGAATACCCTTGCAAAGGCCAGCGCAGGCCAGCCCCGATCTCCGCTGGCTGAGGCGGCAGAGACCAATTTCCTTTTCAGCCCTGGGCTGGACTTGGCTGATCACAGGCGCACAGAACAAATGCTGCCCATGCTCCTGCCAGGTCACCCTCTAGAGCCAGAACTTAACAAGCAAAGGTTCTGTGTAGTAGCTCATTTCCAGAGCCACCAGTCCGTCAGGGTGATGTGGACATCAGACAGCATCCTCACACCTCGTGTCCCCGCCCTGTCCTGCCCAGCCGTCGCCTTCTCCGTTGGTCACATGGTCAGACTCCATTTCTTGGGCACTGACCAAGACTCTCCCCATGCTAAGGACCTTATAGTATAAATTACCCCTTAGACTCCTCATAACCACCCATTTTACAGGTGAGCAAACCAAGTCAGAGCAATGCTTTGACCTTAACCCACCCACACATCACCTGGGGGTCTTTGTACAAGGCAGATTCCCACAGTACCTACCTGTGGGTGGCCGTTAGGCTACACTTTGAATAGCAAAGCCCTAGAGAACTACAGTGACTTGCTAAGGTTATTTCACAGTCTGGAGGTGCCAAGGGGTGTGGGTCTAGGCCAGCAAACACTGGTGGCTGTGCTCCTGACCACCGTGTCTGTCGTCCTGTGTCCCTGGCAGAGGTGCAGTGCATGCATGAGACGCAGAAGCACCTGCGGAGGCTGGTGCACGAAATTGGCCTGGAGCTGAAGACCACTGCTGTCTGCACCCAGGTGCGGCGTACACGGGACGGCTTCTTCACCCTGGACGACGCCCTCCTGAGGACCCAGTGGGACCTACACAGCATCCAGGACGCCATCCGGGCCGCAGCCCCCCGGGTGGAAGCAGAGCTGGAGAAGAGCTTGAGGCTGGGGCCGGGCACCCAGCAGCTCCCTGGTCCAGGCTGGCAGCAGGACAGTGAGGGGCCGAGCTCTGCCTCGACAGGCTGGACAGCTGGCAAGGCAGCAGGTAGATGGAGATAAGAGTTGCTCCTGAGCCAGAGCAGATTACTGTGCAGAAAGGAGGGGAAGCTCTGCTGTATGTGACACGCAACTCAGAAGCTGCAAGAGAAGAGACCTGGCTCAACTGAAAAGGAGGAAAAGATGTACAAATACTGGCAGTGTGTTTAGTGAAGAACTAATATCCATAACATAGAAAGAGCTCTTAGAAAACAAGAAAGAAGACAGGAACATTGGGCAAATGACACAAACTGTTTGTAAAAATATGAAAAGAAATCCAAGTGGCCAGTAAGCCAGACATGATGCCCGCATTTCTAGTAGTGAAAGACCTCCAGGTGAATGGAAGGCGATTTTTCCTTGCCTTTGGGAAAAAGCAGTAAGAAGGTGACATCCAGCATGGACGGCGGGAGGAAGTGGGCAGTCTCTGCTGTGAGAGGTGCGACAGGGCAGTGAGACGCTAGGGAGACTCCCAGGTGGGTGGAAAGGGGAAACCGAGACAAGAACATCAAACAAGGCCAAGTAGTTTGAGCCACGTACAGCCTGTTCATCCATAAATCGCAAGACCTTACTTCCCCTAATCAAGAACACTTGAGAGCAAATGGGTTGTGCCTCTCCTTCCAGACCAGAGAACACACAGCTAAAATCTCCCTGGTCTGACAACTTCCTTCCATAATTTGGCAATTGTGGGGTACCACAGGTCCCAGGGGAAGGGCGGAGGAGGGGGCAACCTAGAAGCTGGCTACAAGCCTAATACTCCTAAGAAACAGCATAAACAGCCATCTCTCATTGAGCTTATTCAAGGGCTTAAAGAACAAGAAAAACAAGACAAGGGCGCACCCGCAGGGAGAAAATAAGGACCGTTCATCAGCACACTGTTGTCATGGAAACACCAAAAGTGCAAGAGCCTACTCCCACCCTCTGACCCCAGTAGAAAGCCTGAGCACTCACCAGGAGGCGTGACTCTGGTTCTGGTTCTGGTTCTGATCCTGAGTTTCCACCCTCTGTAGGGCTGAATAAATCTTATTCTCATTACTGGTGTCCCTGAACTGAATTCTTACTTCAGGAGACAACCCAAATCGGTTCTGGGTTCAGTTCAGTAATAGCAGGAGTGTACAACTGTAAGCTTTTGGTAGTGTGTATCAAAATTCGAACTACTGCCTTATGACTCAGCAGTTAAGAGTTTCAGGAATCCAGCTCAGGTTGCAGAAAGTTAGATATATACGTTTTCGTAGCTGCATTGTAATAGTACAGATGGGAATGTAGTTACCACCCATTAGCGAGGGACTACTTAAATAACTGGCATATATAGGGCCAAAAGGATCTATTCTCATGTCTTCAAGAAAGTGAACCTGGCCCTGGCTGGTGTGGCTCAGTGGATTGAGCACCAGCTTGTGAACCAAAGGGTCACAAGTTTGATTCCCAGTCAGGGCACATGCCTGGGTTGCAGGCCAGGTCCCCAGTTGGGGGCACGGAGAGGCAACCACACGTTGATGTCTCTCTCCATCTCTGGAAATAAAATCTTTTAGAAAGGCCCTGGCTGATATGGCTCAGTGGATTGAGTGCTGGCCTAGTGCTGGCCTGCAAACCAAAGGGTCACTGGTTCAATTCCCAGTCAAGGCACATGCCTGGATTGCAGGCTAGCTCTCCAGTATGGGGTTGTGTTAAGAGACAACTACACATTTAAGGGGGAAAAAAGTCAACCCCAGCTCTCCTTTTTTAAGCTCTTTTTTCTAGGCTTCTATGTATTTTTTCTATTGGTTTGGTTGTCCTGACCTCTAGGCATGTGGGTATTTCCCACACAGACTAGAAGGAGCAAGCTGGCCTCTGGCTAGGACTCTGGTTTGGGCCCTCAGGAAGCACTGCCTGTCCCTTGTCCCTGCTGTCATCGTGGGAGAGAAGGCTGCAGTCACCAGGGCTTCTGCACCTTCACTCTGGGGCAGCTGCAGCTCAGAGCGGAGCCAAGCGAGTGTGCGCTCCTGGCCACGGGGCCGCGCCAGCTCAGCTCCCTCATCCGTAATGTGGGGGTAATGGTTTCAGGATAATGGTTTTGCCCACCTCCCCACCTCGTGGGGTGGTCATGGGGACTCAGTTGTTTGTCATTTCGCTTCAGTCTGCTGCTTATGGCTGCCCTTCTGAACAGTGACCTTAAAGGGTGGCCACAGGGAGGACTTCCACCAAGATGGAGGCGTAGGTGGGAACACTTTGCGTCCTCACACAACCAAATCTAAAAACAACAAAGTTTTGCCCCGGCTGGTGCAGCTCAGTGGATTGAGCGTGGGCCTGTGAACCAGACGGTTGAGGTTCGATTCCCAGTCAGGGCACATGCCTGGGTTGCAGGCCAGTTCCCAGCAGGGGACACATGAGAGGCAACCATACGTTGATATTTCTCTCCCTCTCTCCTTCCCTTCCCCTCTAAAGATATATGAATAAAATCTTAAAAAAAAAGTTTTAACAATAAACGCAACCAAACCATACAGAAAGTCGAATATGGAGTCTGAAAACAATGAACCGCTCAGCTAAACCGGTGAGAGGGGCGAAGCCAGCAGCGGAGCGGATTGGGCAAAAAAGATCCCCCGACCCAGGTGGTGCACAGGCAGCCGAGTGCGTGGATCCCAGGTGCGGACTAGCTACGGGTGGAACCCAGGGGAGAGGCGCGGCTGGCTGTCTGCAGTCAGTCGTGCATTTGCACACAGATAAACCCGTGAAGAGGCGAGCGTTGAGACAGATCGTGTAGGCCCCTGTGGCTGGCGCAGGGCGGCGGGCTTGCACATTTGCACTCAAATAAGCAGGTGGGGGCGAGCGGTGAGGCGGACTGGGGGAGCGGAGAGGACTGCCATTGCTCCCTCTCTGACCCCGCCCCCACATACAGTGTCACAAACCAGCGACCTGGGTGGTCCCGCCCTGGTGAACACCTAAGGTGCCTTGTATGTAACAGGCATGGATAGATCAAAACATGGCTCAAGAACAACTCAGAGCCCCAGAGCCGATAAATCTCAGTGATGAAGAAATAGCCAAACTTTCAGATGCACAGTTCAAAACACTGGTGATCAGGATGCTCGAAGAACTGGTTGATTTTAGTCACAAATTAGAGGAACATATGAAGGCTAAAATAATTGAAATGAATGGTAATGCACAGGAAACCAATAGTAATGGAAAGTAAATTGAAACTCAAATCAAGGGAGCAAACCAGAAGGAAGGAAAAAATGACCAAACAGAAAAATATGAAGAAACAAGAATTTAAAAAAACGAGGAGAGGCTTAGGAACCTCCAGGACATCTTTAAACGTTCCAACATTCAAATTATAGGGGTAACAGAAGGGGAAGAGGAACAGTCACGAGTGGAAACCTTATTTGAACAAATAATAAAAGAGAACTTCCCCAATCTGGCAAAGGAAATAGAATTCCAGGAAATCCAGGAAGCTCAGAGAGTCCCAAAGAAGTTGGACCCAAGAAGAAACATACCAAGGCACATCATCATTACATTAGCCAAGATTATAATGAAGAAGAGAATCTTAGAAGCAGCAAGAGATAAGGGGACAGTCACCTACAAAGGAGTTCCCATCAAACTGTCAGCAGATTTCTCAAAAGAGACCTTACAGGCAAGAAGGGGCTGGAAAGAAGTATTCCAAGTCATGAAAGCCAAGGACCTACAACCAAGATTGCTCTATCCAGCAAAGTTTTCATTTAGAATGGAAGGACAGATAAAGTGTTTCTCAGATAAGATCAAGGAGTTCATCATCACCAAGCCATGTTATATGAAATACTAAAGGGACTTATCTAAGAAAAAGAAGATAAAAAAGATGAACAGTGAAAGGACAGCAAACTCACAGTTATCAACAACCACACCTAAAACAAAAGCGAACTAAGAGGACAGCTAGATCAGGAGTGGACCATAGAAATGAAGATCACATGGAGGGTTAGCAACAGGGGAGTGGGAGAAGGAGAAGGGGGGGGAAGGTACAGAAAATAAGTAGCATAGACAGTAGATAGAAAATAGATAGGGGGAGGGTAAGAATAGTAGGGGAAATACAGAATCTAAAGAACTTGAGACACGTGTTCATGAACTAAAGGGGGGGAATGGTGGGGGAGGGGTGTGCAGGGTGGAGGGGAACGGAGGGGGGAAATAGAACAAATGTAATGGCATAATCAATAAAATAAACAATATTTTTTTAAAAAAGGGTGGCCACAGGGAGAGTCAGAGTGTTTCTCTGCCGTACACCTCGTTTCTCTGGCATAAAATCAGTTGGGAACTGGACAAACACGACTTCAGCCAGGTGTTCAAGGTCAACATCAACAGTGATACTAGCAATGTCATGTTGCTAGTATGTATCCTTGATATGATGTGACAAAAATGGCCCTGAGCCTCTGAGGTCTTCCTCCCAATAACCCACAACCCCTGTCTTAACCTTGAGAAGGACACCGGATTCTGGGGTGGGACATCCTGCAAATACCTGACTGGTCCTGAGAATTGTCACGGTCGTCAAAGGCGGTGAAGTCCAAGGAGCCTAAAGAGGCATGACAACTAGATGCAACGCAGGGTCTTGGAACCGAAAAGGACCTTAGGTGAAAACAAGGGAAATCTAAGTAGTAGTGGGACTTCAGTTAACGTATCAGTCAGTGATGGCTTATTGATTGTAACAGATATGCTAATGGAAGGTGTTAATATAATAAAATATAAGAACACGAGAAGCTGGGTGCTGAGTTTGAGAAGTCCATGTACTATCATCTCAGGGTTTTCTCTAGACAACTGTTATTTTTTTTTAAAAAAGTCTATTTAAAAAACAAGCACCTGGAGAGATCTTTGAGAATCCAGATTCTAACCCTAACGCTTGGACTCTGTCAGGTCAGGAGTGGGGCCCCGAGACCTGAACGGTGGGGTCCAGAGAGCCCCTGGGAGGGTGGCGCAGGCAGAGAGCAGTGCCGGGAAGCTCCGGGCCCCTTCCCCCTCCTGGCCCTGTGCATCCCTTCCATGTGCCTGTCCTGGGGCTGTGTCCTCTTAGCCAGTCGGTCAGCAGGGTCAGCAGCAGGGGTGGCAACCTGGGCCTCGTGATTACGCCTGAACCTTCACCTGTGGAATCTCTGCTAACCCCAGGCGGTGTCAGATTTGAGTCGAAATGTTGGACGCCCAGTTTGGGCCCCCAGAGAACCACAGAATTGCTTGGTGTGGAAAACACCACATGGTAGGTGTCAGAAGTATTGTGTGCAGCGGGGAAACTGTGTTTCTCCCACCTGTGTATGTGTGTTGAATGAACCCAAATGGTTAATTTCTCTTTAACGAAGTGGAACTATGCACAGAAAACATACATCTGCAACTCCATAGGGCTTGCCCTCTCCATGATTTCTAAGCAGGCAGCTGCCCAAGACGTCACTGGTCATGGCACGCCTCCAGCTTCTCTGCCCCAGAGGTGAGTTCTGACCCACCCTCCCCACTCAGGGCGGCAAGGTGGAGACACGAGCAGGTGCCTGCGCCACCTGTGCTGACTCAAGGCACATTCACCGCCTGCCTCTTCCACCTGCCTGTCCCCTCTTCCACCACCCCTCCCTCCCACCGGAATTCCCAGGGAATGTAATCACATTTTACAGATGGGGTAACTGAGGCACTAGAAGGTGATACTAGAAGGTAATCTGGCTCCAGAGCCCATGCTCTTAATCTCTGTTAGCCATGACCTTCCCATCTTGACCTCAGTGGAACCTAGGCCCAGCCCAGCTGTGTCCTGGTGTGTCCCCCATAAGATTTCCCCATTGAGACCTTGGGGCCAGGTGTGATGTGCATGACCAAGTCCCATCAAAGCGTGGTGGCCTTGTTAGGTAGGGAATATATGGAAATGCGTGTCCACAGGCAGACAGTTCAGAACAAAATCAGGCGATACTGGGATTAGTGGGATCCAGTCCACAGGTGAGGACCTGGCTGGGGGGGGGGCAGGTTTGCAAACCTCCACTGGAAAAATTAAGGACCTGGAACTCGGGGCACACAGTAGTCACATCACCTCATCTGGAGTCCTTATTGTCACAGACCATAAAAGAGGGGTCAGA